AATTCACTAAATTAACATTAGTGGAATAGTGACTGTAGAAAATTTTTGCTTTTTTGGGATAACTAATTCATTGGAGAGGACTATATTATTTTTAAAAAATAGCTGTTATAACAATAATTTAATTTTATCCATTACTCCTTACTCATTTATTTTTATTCTTATTTTCCTATCTATGTATCTATCTATTACAAATTTCTCTAATGTTTCAGAGACTACCATGCAATATAATTTCAGGATTTATAGTTGCAGTTTTAAAGCATGTGTTTTTTACTGAATTTCCATTGATAAATGAGCTTAAGTAGCCTCTATCTTATAAAATTATTGAATGTTAAAGGTAGAATTTACCTTGGAGGTGTCTTTATACAGCAAGTTAGTAGCAGAGTGGATACTAGAGCCAGAGTTTCTTGGCTCTACGGTCCCAGTAGATCATGTTTCAGCATGTTTAATGAATTGTAGATGGCATATCTTAATAACGTATAACCATTTTGCTTAGCTTTATTCCATATTGGTTGATCTGGAGTGGATTATTTTTAATTCACAAATTGGATCTTGAATATTGATGAACATTTATATTTTAAAGGTTAGTCTTGGAAATTTTTGTACTTAGTTATAGTTTAGAATATATATATGTTGTCTATGTGTAGGCTATAAAGAATACATATATTCATTGTATATCTATATATTGGTTTAATATAGCTTCAGGCTTTTGGGATCTTCACGTTTCAGGTGGAGGAAACCAGGGATCTTTTTTTTTTTCTTAGACTTGTAATTTCATGTTATGGGAGCTCCTTGGTTCAGAAACATCCTCCGCAACTGCCTTTTTACAACTTCTCTGCAACTTATTGTGTTAATGAGTTGCTTGGGATATTGAGAGACTAAGTAATTGTCCCAAAGTCACACAGCCATTATATGTCAGAAGTGGGAATTGAACTAAGGTTTACCTGAGTCTGAGACCAGCTCCATATATGACTTCTTAGGAATGTGTGTGTGTGTATGTGTACATCCCAGATGAGATGTGCTGTGTTTTCCATACCCTTTAATTAGGAAAGAAAGAAAAGAAATGTTTATCTTTGCCTTCTTTTCTTTATTGAGAAAAGAGAGACCATTTAAAGTCCTTGTCATCATCTCCTATTATCTCCTCTTCCTTCAGTCCAGTCAACAATGAAGAGGTGACCATTCTCCTTGCCAAAACCAATGTCTCTATTTGCACCCTTGATCTCATCTTCTCCAGCACTCACAATCACCTCCCCTCTTTCCCTAATCCTCAATTTTCACTTACCTTACTGGTTTTTTTCCTTACTTCCTATAAATACAAGGATCCCTCATCTTTTTTTTAATTTAGTATTTTATTTTTCCACAGTTACATGTAAAAACAATTTTTAATATTCATTTTTAAAACTTTGAGTTCCGAATTATCTCCCTTCCTCCCTCCTCACCCCCCCTTCACTCTCCCTCATTGAGAAGGCAAGCAGTTCCATACAGGTTATACATATATAGTCATGCAAAATGTTTCTCTGATAGTCATGTTGTGAAAGAAAACACAGACAAAAAAAACCCCAAGAAAAATAAAGAAAGTAAAAAAAAAAGTACACTTCAAAATCTGTATTCAGACACTCTTAAGTTATTTGTCTGGGGATAGATAGCATTATTCATCATAAATTCTTCGGTTGTCTTGGGATCCTTCCTTTTTTTTTTTGGTGAAGCAGTGCAGTTGAGTGACTTGGCCAGAGTCACACAGCTAGGAAGTGTGAAGTGTCTGAGGCTGGATTTGAACTCAGTCTCCTGACTGCAGGGCCGGTGCTCTATCCACTATGTCACCTAGCCACCCCAGGGACCCCTCATCTCTGAAAAACAAAACAAAACATGTGGTGGATCCTGCTGTCTCCTCAAGGAGATCCTTTTTTCCCCTCTTTTCCAGCCAGACGCCTAGAAAAAGTTCTCTGTATTCATTGCCTCTACTTCCCCAACTTTCACTCCTCACCTTTCTATAGTTTGACTTCCAACCTCATCACTCAATTGAAATTTCTTCTTGAAAAGTTAGTAATAATCTCTAAAAAAAAAGTACTTTTATTGATATCTTTTGTTTTTACATCACCTAAATTTCCCCCTGTATCACTCCTTCTCCACCTTCCAAGGAGCCATCCTATATAACAAGGAATATTTTTTTAAAGGAAAAAGAAAGAAGCAAAAAAACCCAATCAACAGAACTGATCAATACATTGAAAACAATCTGAAAATATATGCAGTTTCCCATATCATGAACTTCCTTCCTACCTTTGCAGAAGAGGTAGGATGTCTCTTCTTGAGACCATGCTTTTTCTTTGTACTTTTAGATTATTCTCTTTCAATTGTTTAGTGGTTGTTCTTTCCATTTACATTGTTGTAGTCATTGTATATGAACTAGCTAGGTGGTACAGTGGATAGAGCACCGGCCCTGGGTTCTAGAGGACCTGAGTTCGAATCTGACCTCAGACACTTACTAGCTACATGACCCTGGGCAAGTCACTTAACCCCATTGCCTAGCTGGGAAAAAGAAAAGAGTATTCGTTTTCTTGAGTTCAAATCTGGCCTCAGACACTTACCAGCTTTGTGACCCTGGGCAAGTCACTTTACCCCTGTTTACCTCAGTTCTTCATCAGTAAAATGATCTGGAGAAGGAAATGGCAAGCACTCTAGTATCTTTACCAAGAAAACCCCAAAATGGAGTCACGAAGAGTCAGATATGACTGAAACAACTGAACAACAAAGTCATTGTATATATTTTCTTGGCTCTGCTTCTGTATCAGTTCATATAAGTTTTCCCATGCTTTTCCGTGTTCATGTTTGTGGTTTCTAACAGCACGGTAATATTCTGTTACATGCGTGTATCACAATTTCTTTAGTCATTCTGCATTGATGGGCATCTACTTTGTTTCCAATCCTTTTCTACCACAAAAAGTACTGCTATAAATATTTTGGTATTTATGGGGACTTTCTTTTTAATCAATGATCACCTTGGGATATATGCCTAATAATAGAGTTAAGAAGTATGGACTTTTTATAATTGCCAAATTTAACACTAATCTCTTAATCTTTTCTTAATCTTCATTCTTCTTAACTTCTCTGAAGCACTTGACAGTGTTGTGCCCTTTCCTTCTGGTTACCTCCCTCCACTGGGTTTGTGTGACACTCTTTTCTCTGAGGTCTCTTCCTACCTATCTTACTGTTCTTTCTCAGTCTCATTTGTTGGTTCATCATTCCTATTATACCCTCTGTGTGTGTGCCCCAAGGCTCTATCCTAGGCTCTCTTTTGTCTATGCATCGAAGGTTCTTAACCTAGGAGCCACTTAATTTTTTAATGCTTTGTTAAATATTTTAATGTAACTAATTTTCTTTGGAATCCTATGCATTTTATTTTATACGTGTAAAAACATTATTCTGAGATGGTATCTACAAGTTTCATTAAACAACCAAAGGGGGTCCATAATACAAAAAAGATTAAGAACCCCTGCTCTATACTTTTTATACCCTTATCAGTTCCCATGGCTTTAATTGTCATCTCAGTGCAGATGTCTCCCAAATCTATATGTCTGCTATAGTTTGCTTAGCTAATCCAACTGCCTATTAAACATTTTAAACTGGATGTCCAGTAGGCTTCTCAAACTCAATGTGTCCCAAAGAGAATTGAGTATAGTTCTCCTCAAACTTGCTTTTTTAACAAACTTCCTTGTTTCCAGTGAGGGTACCACCGTCTTTCCAGTCACCAACATTTGCAACTTCGCATTATCATCTCACCAGCTCCTTCTTCATATCCAGTTAGTTGCCAAATCTTGTCATTCTACCAAAATATCCCTCAGATCTGTTATTTTCTCTCTGCTCTAATGGCTACAACCAGTACAGGCCATCAGCATCTCTTTCCTGGATTTTGGCAAAACTTCTTAATTGGCATTTCAGCCTCAAAGCTCTTCCTACTTCAGTCCATCCTCCACACAGCTGTTGAAGTGATTTCCCAGAGTGCCGGTCTGGCTATGTAATTTGCCTACCCATTGGGTCTCTATTGCTTTTAGGATCAAATATAATCTTCTCTATTTTTCTTTCAAGGCCCTTCATAGTCTGGTCCCAACCTACCTTGACAACCGTGTAGTACATTACTCCTCTCTCATACGCTGAGGTTCAGCCAGATTGGCTCACATGTAACAACCCATCTTCTATTTCTTTGATAGGTTGTCCCCCATGTCCTCCACTTTCTACATTAATCATTCCTTGATCTTCTCAGCTGCTTATGGCCACCTCTGAGGAAATTACCTTGCATTTAATTTGTAAATATTTTGTTTATACTTATGTATAGTAGTATCCCTTCCCCCAACTCCAGAAGAATGTAAGCTCTTTGAGGGCAAGGGCTGTCTCATTTTTTTTCTTTGTATTCTCAGTGACTAACATATAATAGGCATTTAATAAATAGTTGTTGATTGATTGATTGCCTCTCCAGGAAAGGATACTGAGCAATAATCTTTAAATGCTGAGAAAAGAATAGAAATTGGAACTTCACAAAGAATTTGGTGAGATAGAATAATTGACCTAGAGAGTAAATAGGTGGGTGAGTAGTGGTAGTAGGCCAAATAAAATTAATTAGTGCCATTTGTAATTGGATTAAAATTTACCATTTAGTGACATATAGGCATGCTGAATTTTAAAACATCCATTTAAGCACAGTGTGTATTGGGAGCAATCAGCACTCACTTATGGAAGTTGCATGTATCCAAAGGAGAAAGTGGCAGATAATGCAACCTCTATGGGTGCTCTTCTCTCTGTTTTCTATCCTTCATTATTCTATCTCTTAGCCAAGAGTGCTTTAAGCAAAATAGACCTAACTATACTCTCATGAACCCAGCTTGAAGAATTAATTCCTAGAAAATGATATAATGCCATCATTTAAAAATGTTTAAAATGAGTAATCTTTTCTTTCTCTTCCATTGCCTATTTATATCATTAATAATATTTCTTACCATGCCCTTTTGCAGAATCCAGGATGTGCATTGAGTGAAGAGATAATTGGCCAAGCCAAGAAGATATTCCCTTCAGTGATAAAATATATAGTAGACATGACTGTTTGGGAAGAGGAAAAAGACCTGCCTACTCAACTCCAGCTTAGGTATAGAATGTTATCATTATCTTCTGTAAGCTAATGGAGCCTTCTTGTGCTCTTCTTCCTAGTTACCTGCTCTTCTCGATGGCTTTTGACCCAGCAGTTATTTCTGGATAGCTTTCTCCTGCCTTTTTCTTTAGTGTAAAGCCACATTTAACTAGATCAGCAAGTCTTCTAGCAAGGAGATTCTTCCTTACTATTGTTACTTGGACTCCCCTAGTCAAGTACCTGGTGCCAGGCACTGTGATAAGTACTAAAGTTACAGAGAAAGGCAAAAACAGACCCTGTCATCAAAGAGAGTACAACACATAATCATAAAAAAGAGTAGTAGTGGGGAGACAGGAGAAGGAAGGGCAAGGTGGCTAGTGAGGAGGATGAGAAGAAGCATGGAGAGTGGAGTCATTTCTGGCTCTTCTTCTGAAAGAGTGATCTGGGCAGGCAGTCACCAATGAGGAGAGCCAGGCCACAGACATGTTTGCTGCCCTCATAGAGTTTACAGAGACCATTAGGAGAGTTAGAACATATATTATCAGTATCTATAATGCAAAGTAGGAAATAAAAGTGCAGCAAGAGAGACAGAGTATTCTAGTTAGAGCAAGAAGAGATTACTTCTGCCTTTGGGGAATTTAGAAGGGCTTCATTTAGGATACTTCCTGCTGAGATGTCTGCCTGAGCAGAGGCAAGCTGTCCCACTTCCCTTCACCTGTTATAGGAAAAATCCTAGAAATTCACACCAGATCAAATAATGATCAAGAAATCCAGTAAGTATAACTGACTTCTTCCATCACAGAACTGAAGAAAACTCAGCCAGCAGCTGAATAGGAATGGAGGATAGCAGCATAGACAAACAATATAGTAACCTCCCAGTGGAACCAGAGAAGGGAGACATATGACAGCCTGGAAGGCTCTCTGGAGACCACAAACATGGAGTGCTCCCACAAGAAATTCCAGGGTGGTTATAAAATAATGGGGCCCTTGGAAACACTAGAAGTAATGACCAGGGTGGGTATGTGAGTGTTATGTAAAGGCTGCTTGGACCAGGACACTCCAGGGCAGCCAGGTCCCTAGCACTGTGTCTTGAGATACTATAGAGAGTCTAGAAAAATCCTGTGCTCTGAACTTCAAAGATCAGGGGACCCAGTGCCATTTGGAGGAGATCAACACAAGAACTCTAGTAACCTATGGTAAAACCAAGCATGGTAGACCACCCCACCCAAAAGCACATTAGGAAATGGAGTAAACCAAAAAAGACACTAATCATTCAGTATAAAATATTTTTGCAAGTCTAGAGATCCTCAAGAAGAGCAACTCCAAAACAATTGCAGGTAGATGCTAAAAGGAAAAAATGGATTTTCCAAAAGGATTACACAAATGCCTCAGTGAAATAAAGTGATGAAAAATGACATTAAAAACTTTGGAGGAAACAATTAGAAGGGGAAGAAAATAGTTTTGAAGAGAAAATGGTAAATGGCCTCCTTGAAAATTAAAATAAACAGAAATCACTGCCTTCATAAGACATGAAATACTAGAACAAAATCAAAAAATTGAAAAAATAGAAGAAAACATAATCTATCTGCTGTCAAAAAACAACTGACCAGGAAAGCAGGTCAATTAGAGACATTTTAAGAATTATTGGACTCCTTGAAAATCACCATCAATAAATGGCTGAAATTATATTTGAAGAAAATCATAATTCAACATTGCCCAAATCTATTAGAACCAGTGAGCAGAGTGAAGATAGAAAATTCCATTGTTCACTGAAAGAAACTCTTAAAGGAAAAGTCCCATGAATGTCATAATCAAAATCCAGAGCTCCCACATCAAAGGAAAATATATTATAAACAAAGAAGCAGTACAAATCCAAGGAACCGCAATCACATAAAACCCATTAGCTTCTACCGCAAATAAGAAGAGATCTCTCTAATATTAAGACCCAAGGGAAGCCTAAAAAAGTAAAAAGGGAGAAGAAAATATAAGGGATTCAATGGAACTGAACTGTATCCCTGCATAAGAAGATGATACTTGAAATTCTTTTTATTTTTTTAAGAAATTTTCTTTTATTTTTTTAAAAATTTTTTAAAATTTTTAGGCAGTTGTGTTAAGTGACTTGCCCAGTCACCAGTAAGTGTCAACTGTTTGGCCTGAGGCTGAATTTGAACTCAGGTCCTCCTGACTTCAGGGCTGGTGCTCTATCCACTGTGCCACCTCTGTGCCCCAGTACTTGTAATTCTTAAAAATTGTGCCACTAATAGAATAACTAGAAGGAATATCCATAGAGGGCACAGGTATAAGATGAATTTGAGGGAATGTCATTAAAAAATGACTAAGGGATGAGAAAGAGTACATTGGGTACAGAAGGAAGGGAGTGGTAGAATACAATAAAATATTTCACATGAAGAGGCATGAAAAACCTATTTCAGTAGAGGGGAAGATGGGAGGGTGGGCAGTGGGCATTTCTTGAACCTTACTCTCATCAGTATTGGCTCAAAAAGGGAATAATATACACAGTCAGTTGAATATTAAAATCTGTCTTACCCAACAGGGAAGTAGGAGGGGAGGAAATCAAGTAAAAGGTGGGGGTTACTGACAGAAGGGAGGGCTGATTGGGGGAGGTAGTAGACAGAAGCAAAACACTGTTGAGGAAAAGGGTGAAAAAAGAGAGAGAGAACAAACAGGAGGAAAAATAAGATGGAGGGAAATACACAGTAATTGTAACTGTGAATGTAAATGGGATAAACTCTCCCATAAAATGGAAGCTGATAGCAGAGTGGATCAAAAACCAGAATCTTACAATATATTATTTACAAGAAATGTACTTGAAGTAGAGAGATACACACAGGCATAGAGTAGAGGTAAGGGGCTGGAGCAGAATCTATTGTGCTTCAGCTGAAGTAAAAAGAAAAAAAAAGCAGGGTTAGCAATCCTGATCTCAGACAAAGCAAAAGCAAAATTAGAGATTAAAATTAAATTAATTAAATTAAAAGAGATATGGCATAGACAATGAAGTAATATCAATACTAAACATATATGCATGAAGTGGTATAGCATCCAGATTCATAAGGGAGAAGTTAAGTGAGTTACAGGTTCATGACCAAATAAGACATAGCATTACAAAATGTTAAATAGATAATTTTGGTTATATTAAATGAAAAAGCTTTTGCCCAAACAAAACCAATGCAGCCAAGATTAGAAGGGAAGCAAAAAGCTGGGAAACAGTATTTACAGCAAGTCTCTGATGAAGGCTCATTTCTCAAATATATAAAGAATTGAATTTATAAGAATACAAGTCATTCCCCAATTGATAAATTGTTCAAAAGATATGAATAGGCAGAGCTATCTATAGGCATATGAAGAAGTGCTCTAAATCACTTTTGATTAGAGAAATGCAAATTAAAACAACTCTGAGATAACACCTCACATCTATCAGATTGGCTAATATAAAAAGGAAAATTATAAATGCTGAAGAGGATGTGGGAAAATTGGAACACTAATGCACTGTTGGTGGAGCTGTGAACTGATCTAACCATTCTGGAAAGCAATTTGGAACTATGTCCAAAGGGCTACCAAATTCTACATACCCTTTGATCCAGCAATACCACTACTAGGTCTCTATTCCAAAGAGGTCATAAAAAAGGGAGTAGAACCTACATGTACAAATATATTAATAGCAGCCCTTTTTGTGGTGGTAAAATATTGGAAATTGAGGGGGTGTCCATCAATTGGGTTATGGCTGAACAAGCTGTGGTATATGAATGTAATAGAATACTATTCTGAGTAAGCAATAATAAATCGGCAGATTTCAGAAAAATGTGGAAAGACGTGTATGAACTGGTGCAAAGTGAAATGAGCAGAGCCAAAACACTGTACACAGCATCAGCAACGTTGTGTGATGTTCAGCTGTGAATAGCTTAGCTCTTCTCAGCAACACAACGATCCAGTACAAGTACAGAGGACTCACAAAGGAAAACGCTGTCCACGTCCAGATGAAGAACCGATGGACTGTGAATGCAGATCGAAGCATACTCTTTTCACTGACTTTATTCTTTTTCTTGGTTTTTTCTTTTCCTTTTGATCTCTTTCTTTTACAGCTGTGACTAATATGGAAATGCGTTCTACATGATAGCACATGTATAACTTATATCAATTTGCCTACCATTTTAGGAAAAGGGAAGGGGAGGAAAGGAGGGAAAAAAATTTGGAACTCAAAATCTTGTAAAATATGAGTGCTAACAATTGTCTTGACATGTAATTGGGGGAAAAAAACCCAAAATTTTGTTAAAAGAAAAACAGCTTAAGAGCTCTTTGATCTGCATAATGACCAGCCATGTCTCAAGAGGATTTGTGAGGAAGCGTGCCACCCTCCTGACACAGAGGTGATATACTCAGGCTGTAAAAAAAAAGATGTGCATTTTGGGACATGGCCATTTGTGGTCTTATTTTTCTTGACTATGCTTATTTGTTACAGGATTTTGGCTTTTCTTCCCCCTGGGTTTTTTTTTAATTGGTAGGGGGAAGTTAAGGGACGCTAATACTGATGCCAGAAAAAGGGTCATTAAAACACTTCTGAAATGTACAGAAGAGAACAGAAGGAGGCACAAACAGGACAGATTTAAAAGTAATGCAAAGAATTTATCATATATTTTTTAAAATCCAGGTGATACGAAATGGAGATTCACAATTTCCTATACAATCCTCTTTTTGTGTTCTGCTGTATATGTGGAAATACTCCCCATTTGGGTGTTTAAGTTCATAATAAAAATTTTTTTTTAAGATTTCATCAAAGGTATGTCATTTAAGTTAGACCTTGAAGGCCCAAATCTTAGTATAGTTGCCTTCTGAACTTCATGTATTCTTGGTTTATAAATTCTCAAGGTGTAGTGGGATGGCAATGGGAGAGGAAGCTAGGAAGCAGTAATATTGGTAGCACCACAGTGATAATGAGGCACTTTAGTTTAAAAGAGCATTAACTATTTCTAGTCTAGAAACTACTTGTCAGACAGTCTAAATGGGGGAATACAGGCAAAAAGAATAAAGGATACTGTACATCAAGTACCTAATGTAAGATAGGTGATAATGTCACTTATTATTTAGCATTTGCAACCTGGTTCCCACCTAATTATATGTTATTCCTCTTCCTGTACTCTGCCATCTAGCAAAACTGACCAATTGATGGACATCCCCTCAATTTCCAATATTTTGCCACCACAAAAAGGGCTGCTATTAATATATTTGTACATGTAGGTTCTTTTCCCTTTTTTATGATCTCTTTGGAATAGAGACCTAGTAGTGGTATTGCTGGATCAGAGGGTATGTGGAGTTTGGTAGCCCTTTGGGCATAGTTCCAAATTGCTTTCCAGAATGGTTAGATCAGTTCACAGCTCCACCAGCATTGCATTAGTGTCCCTTACACGTGACATTCCAGATCTTGTGTCTTTTCCTTTTCTCTTGCTGTTCCCCAGGCCTTGAACACCCTCCTTTCTTACTTCCCTTTCTTAGCTACCCTTATTCCAAGCTTCTGCCGAAGTGCCACTTTCTAAATGAAACCTTTCTTTATACCCTTCAATTGCTGGTCCCTCCATTCTCAAATTATCATATATATTTTGTATACGTCCTTTATATATTTCTATGTACATATTGTTTCCCTTAAGAGAAGGTGAGCTTCTTGAGGGCAGGAGGTATTTCATTTTTGTTTTTGTATCTTCTGCCCCTGGCTTAGGGTCTAGCATAGCATTCTTAGGCTTCAGATCTAGGGCTAGAAGGGACCTCAGAGAGCATCGATTCCCAACCCCTCATTTTATAGATGATGAAACTGAGGCCCATGGAAATTATTTGATTTTCTTAAGATTTCACAGCTAATAGACAACAGAGAGAGGAGTTTGAACCCAAATCCTCTGACTTCAGATACAGGGTTCCTTCCCTTATCTCACACTGCTATCTCATAGTAGGCATTTAATAAGTGCTTGTTGATTGATTGACTTAAAACTTAAAAAGACTTATGAGGATAAGTCAAATGCCATAATCTAGCAGTGAATAATGGAATTTTCTTATGTTTTATTTGTATATGTATGCCAAGTATATTTTTCACGTTTTCTTTTGATTATCTAATTATCTCAACTTTTCTTTATTAGGGAGAAAACTGAAAGATACTATTGTGTCCTTTTCAATGATGAACACCATTCTTATGACCATGTTATATATAGTCTACAGAAAGCCCTTAAATGTGAACTTACAGAAGCTCAGTTGCATACCACTGCCATAGACAAAGAGGTTAGTGAAATGTTAACATGTTACAGTTACGTTATCCTGTGTGATAGTCAGCAGTCAATCCAATAGATATTTATTTAGCATTTACTAGCTTTATCAGGCACTAGCATCCTTTTAATTTAACATTCATATCATATTAACTCTCCTAGAATAATGAAATAAGAAGAAAAATTTCACCAAATACTTGGTTAGTTCTTTTGATCTGTTTTGAATAATCTCACTCACAGTCTTTTTCCTATTATTTTGGTAATTAAGATGAGTATATTTAGTAACACCCTAGATTGTGTATGTAGCAGATTTTAATATAATGGAATAGCAGATCAAGTAAACCTGCTATTGTTGCTTTGCTTTAGTTTACTTTCTTTAATCTGTGAAGTTGTTTAATTTTTATATCACCTAGTGCTAATTTTGAATAATTTTGAGTGACTTATTCAATATTAAGCGTTCATTGTTTCCCATATCTATATATCTATATCTATATACCTGTTCTAGTCATTAAATTCTAAGGGAGTTAAAGAAACAGTAGAAGACCTAATCCCTGCTTTTGAGCTATTTGTAATCTGATTGGGAAAACATACTAGTTACACAGGAAAGGTTTCTGTTTTCCTCATGCTATTCTGTGTCACAGGCATTTTAAACAAGAATGTTTAATTTTTTTCCTCTTGTATTTCTGCATGGAGGTAGTAATATAAAAGGATCAAAAGGCAACCCACAAAAGGGAAGAGCAGAAGCAAAAAGTGTTCAGTAGTCTGTGTTGAATAATCAGCTCCTGGGTCATCACGAGTTGAGCATACTGTATTTTACGTAGTTGACAGCAATCAAATTTCTAACTTGTTAATGCATATTTTAAAAATCCTGCATATATGTGATATTATTTCTTTATGTTATGTTTATCTTGAAATGAAATCAACTTTTACCTTGGGTGTGCTATCAAATTACTTTTAAAAAGAATGTAAATACTAAGGGGCAATATTGTCTTCTAATATCTAATCTAATCTAATGGTTTAAAAGCATTTAATTCTTTTAATGACTGACTGTATGTTATAGCCAAGTGATTGCTTTATATTAAGCTTTGGCACACACAGTAGAATGTGGTACCTAATTTAGTTAGCAGTAATTATTAACATTTACAAATCACAGATGCCAGCTTCAATGAGACTTTGAAAGAAATGGTTTAAAATATATTCTCCAAGATATAAAGCCCATCTTCTCATGTGCCATCCCAGAGGCAAATAGAATGGTAAAAGGCCTGGAAGTTATGCCATATAAGAATCAGTTTCAGGGCTATCTGATTCCGCTTTCAGTTGATAGCCCTTCATATATTTGAAGACAGTTATGCTTGTCTTACCACCTCCAAATCTTTTCATAAGGTGTAGTAATAATCTGGCAGAGAAGTGAGTTTTCAGTCACTTGAGATCTTCCAAGTAGAGTCTCACTGGCTCCCTGGGATGTTGAAGAAGGGACTTGCACTTTGGATGGGGGTGAACTAGATAACTTTTGAGGTACTAACCAACTGTTTAATTTGTGTGAGTTCTGGATGGTGTGAGGATCAGTATGCTGCTACACTTCAATGACTTTTCATAGCCCCAAGTCTGTGAAGCTCAGGGAACTCTGGGCCCAGTACTTATTTCTTAGGCAGGTTTAACACAGAGTCTATTACTTTCTTAAAAGACACCACAAACGAAAGACCAAGTTGCAGTTCTGATCCTATTAACATCTGAAGCCATAGGATTAGAGAGCCTTGGGCTGTATAGCCACCTGCCTTCACTTTTCCTTTTTAGAATTCTAAGTGATTGTGGTAGAGACAGACTCATCTTTGGTCTAGGCTTCAGCAAGCGAGTTTTAATAATTCGTAGTTTCTTACATTTTTAGTGCCAGTGTTGCTTAGTGTTGATGTCATTCCATTACTTAATAATCCTCCAAATTTTGTTTATAATTAGGGTCGTCGGGCTGTTAAACTAGGATCTTGTGTGCATTGTCGAGAAGCAAAGGAAAGTATCAAGGTAATTTTGAAGCATTTGAACATGCAAAGGGAACCACGAGAGAGCTGTGTCGGTGGAGGGGAAGTTGAGAGTTGTGGTTCAGAGGAGATAGTTATAGGAGGGGGAACGAGACACCCCATAGAATAAAGCTGAAAACTGATATGATCGCAGCCTTCTAGGAGCTTGAGGGCTCACTGGTTAATGTGGTGTTCTGTTCTTTTTTCCCCACTTGCCATAACCCTCATGAACAGAAAATTGACATTAGAAGGAAGGAATTAAATAAGGATGAAAAGCAATTGAGATATATTTTAGGTGAATTCAACAAATTATAAGATTCTGTTGTTTAAACTAAAGACTGAAGGCAGTTTGAGTTATGCCTTAGGTTTTCCTAATAATCTGTTCTTTGTTTTCTTTAATTATTCCATATATCTCTAGTTTCATTCAGAAAATGTTTCTCAGCATCCACTTCATGTAGAAGTCCTACATGCTGATGTTATGGCTCATCAGAAATTTGCTTTGCGTCTTGGTACCTGGTTGAACAAACTTATGAGCTATTCAAGTAAGCATATATTCCTTATAAACATTCTTTTCTTACCCATGGTTTTAAAACCTGATTGAATAGACTATATTTGAAATTAAGGTGATTACATTCATCTGTTTCCTCCTTTGTTAAACTTGTGATATATTTTCAGTGTCATATCTTGTGTTTTTAATAGGTTCTTAATTGTTTTCTTAATTGGTTCTTAATCCCTTAAAATAAAGCAGCCAGTTGTTAATGTTTGACTATTGTTTTGACACTAGTAATTATTATAATATTTAAAGACAATCTGGACTGTGTGTTTTTGGAGAAGGATTGAGAAAAGTGTGAATGTTTACATCGACTTTTCTTTTCCAGGTGATTTTCGGCAAATCTTCTGCCAGGCCTGCCTCCAAGAAGATGTTCCTAATGATCCCTGCCACATAAGCAGGTTAATGCTTTGGGATGCAAAGCTTTATAAAGGTGGGTAGATCTTATGCTTTGAATAAGAACCATAATCCATTTTAACAAGTACTTCCCTCAATGATAAATTGACTGACTTTGTTGATTTTAAAATGCTTGGATACCTTAAGGTAAAGAAATTATTTAGTCATTTGTTGATGGAGGGGGATATTCTTTTAGGCTAAGCTCAGTTATTAGGCTTGTATTTATCTAACTTCAATTTCTCTTCAGTCTTCTGTTAGTCATGGCAATCCTTCATTGATCTTATTCAAGTTAATTCAAGTTAATCTTGAAAAATTCTTCATAAGGGAGAAAAAAGTAAAGGAGAGGACAGAGGAAAAGAAGAATGATAGTGATAAAATCAGAAAAAAGATAGAAGGGTCTATTCAAGTAAGGATATTCCTTCCATATTTTTAATAAATCCACATTTATTATATAAATATGAAATAAGAGGAAAGGCTAAGTGAGGGCATTAAAATAAAATGAAGAGTTATAGAAATGCTGGTATTTGGAGAAAACAAGAAAAGCTGCATTTATGGCTTTATTTTATTAACAGTGGTGAATTAATATTTTGAGTGAGGCTTATTAGCATGTTTCTATTTTTAGAATATCCTGGAAAATTTTCCTGCCTTCTACCCCCATAAAATGTTTTTTTGACAGGTGCACGGAAGGTGCTTCACGAATTGATCTTCAGCAGTTTTTTCATGGAAATAGAATATAAAAAACTCTTTGCCATGGAATTTGTGAAGGTAATTGTCTGTTATCTATATCTATATGAAAATATTAGTCTGTGACTATGAATATGGTGATTTTTTTAAGTAAAAGAGTAGAAATAGGAGTTGAGTGCTTCTGAAGAGCTTGATTTTTATAGTTCATTTTTATTGTTTACTTTCAGCACCTGATAGTCTCATAAATGGTTTCCTGTAGGGAACACAAAACCTTGTTAAGGGGAGGACATACTATCCCATTTGCATAAGTACTCAATCTACTAAATCTCTTCATTCATTAATGTATTGAGACAGAAGATGAGTTAGAGAAATAGTTTCAGATTAAAGGGAGGAAGAGTTATAAAACTTAGAAACAGGAATCAGGTTAGGCACTAAAATTACACTTGTATTTTCAAGGCTAAAATGAAAAGGGGAGCTTTAATCCTATCTCCTCCACTGTTATACTCTAATAGATCTATGCTTTTATTGGTGTGGATATTTCTTCCACTGATGCAGTTTTTTGTCTCTGTCTCTCTTTCCTTAAATCTTCCACAGAGGATTCACCCCAGTACTCTTTATCTCCTTTATTTATTTCTTGCATTATTGCTTACTTTTTCACATGTTTATAATTTTGTTTTCTCAACTGGACTATAAGCTCCTTAAAATCAGGGACCGGATCTTACATTCCTTTTGCCCTCCATAGGCTTTACACATAGTAGGTGTTCAATAAATATTAGTTGATTCAATTTTGATTTTTAAGCAGTTCTAAGGGACCTGAGAGTGATCCAAGAAAAAGAGTCAGGCTGAGATTGGAAGTTGAAGGTGGAATGAAGATTGTGGTATAGAGAGTATGGTGAGATAGGCCAAAGTTACAAGTTGAAATCTGTGCAAGAAGAGTGAATTTATGAATAACCAATCCATAACATGATCTATCATTAAGAATAAGCTAGATCTTGTGGGATACACCCTTGAATTTTGAGGTTGATAGCAAGGAAGGCAGTCATGTTCTAAAACATATGCCTTTTTGCCATTATCAGGCAGAGTGTCGAACATGAATGTGGCCAGTATAATTTTTAGGTAAAGGCTTGTCTCCCCTATAGGTGATATTTGTTTGGATCTAACACCATGGCTACATCTTATGAGTGCACATTTTTAAAATGATAGCCCTAGAATTCTGAATCAGTTTTGTGAAGACTCTACTTCAGTGATTTATCCCCAAGAAGTTAGGTACGTAGAAGGGCCTATCCCTACAGTAACAGATTGACTTTGTAAGGTGTAAAAGGATGATTTCTACCTTCCAGCTGCCCCCAGCTGTCATTTTGCTTTCAAATTAGAGCCATTCTGAATATTAAGCCACATTCTGAATAATTACTAGCATATACATGCTGCCTTACTTCCAGTCCTCAATTCTAAAGTTATCTGTTCTCAGTAGGGATTCCTCATCACTTTAGGAAATTCATTTTTGTTTAAAAAAAACCTTAAAAAGTATTTTTATTATGAACTTAATAATCCTCAACAAACACAAAGAGGAAACCTCTTGTTCTCTGCTGAGTACATCCTCAGATCCTGCAGGTATAAGGAGGATCCACCCAGTCCTAGCTCTTTGAAGCTGCCTCTGGATTATTTCATAGTTCTCAGATTCGTTGCTTTGGGTCATTGAACTAATATTTATGCATCTTTTCCAGTGCTTTCAAAATGTTGTTAATCAGCATAATATTTCTAGTAAATAAAGATTATGTTTAGTTTAGCCCTATAGATGGAGAACTTAGGGGCACATAAGGGTGATACGCCTAGGGATAGAATTCAGGTTTCTTGATGTTTCTGATATTGTTATCTCAGTGTATTAGTTAAATTCAGTGGTTTGAAAAGTTTCTAATAATTCAGATTCTCTAAAAATCTTTCAGTTTTATAAACCACTGCAGAAAGACTACATCAGTGATGATCATGATAGAAGTCTCTCTGTGACTGCATTATCAGTTCAGATGTTTACTGTTCCTACTCTGGTATGTACAGGTTACTGCTTTGTTCTTACTCTTGATTGTTCATGTTACTTTTATGTTTTCTTAAAATTAAAGCAGTCAATAAAATTGCCACCCAAACTTCATAAATAGCTGAGTACAAGCTTTCCTGGAAATGGATATAAGGATTCTATCAGGGTCCATGTAGCCATTCTGGGCCCATACAGTTACATCAGACCTGCTTTCTGAATGTGTGTGCATGTGTATTTGTGCATGTGAAAAATTTGTTTTTGTTAAATATTCTTTCGTTCCTAAATTTTTTTTGTTTTGTTTTGGAATAAGAAGCCAGGATAAGAGGGAAACTTGCTGAAGGTTTCCAGTTGTTGAAGATTATAGTATCTAGCCCTCAAGAACAGAGAGCTCTGCTTTCCTTAATGTCTGCTGAGAGATCATCTCTGTTCTTTTTATGTATTTTCAGTGAACTGGATAATAGTTTGAAGGAGCAGAATAGGAAGCGTGATTCAATGGAAAGAATGTTAAATTGGAAGTTAGTGGACCTGAATTGAAAGCCCAACTTTTTTACTTGGGAAAGTCACTTAACTTCTGGGTTTCAGAGGGGTTGGACTAGATGATTTCTACTTCTTCCTAGTTCTAAATCTTAATTCTGTGATTGTAAGCAAAGGTGATAGTTTTAAAGCAGATCCTTACCTAGTCAGTTTTGAAAGGCATGTCTGTTTTCTATACTGTTTCTTACACAGCACCCTGATAATGAGTGTATAGCCTGGCTCTCTGTTTGCTCCTTCTCTCATGGGTCTTATGGTGGTAAGGTTGAGGATCTTTAGATTGATTGCTGCCTTTGTTTTCTAAAATTTGCTGAATAAATAAATGATGTACATATGAGGACTTACTATTAAAGTCAGTGTTATTGAAATACTGTGTAGGCTCGCCATCTCATTGAAGAGCAGAATGTTATCTCTGTCATTACTGAAACACTGCTAGAAGTTTTACCAGAATACTTGGACAAGAACAACAAATTCAACTTCCAGGGTTACAGCCAGGACAAATTGGGAAGGGTATATGCAGTTATATGTGACCTCAAGTAAGTTGATTTTGGGAAATGGTATGGGTTGTCTTTTAAGTAGTATGTATTCTTACTTTATTTCTCCCTTTGAGATTAACCATGAATATATTTCGTTACATAGGGTTTTATTTGCAGAAGAGTAAGAAACAAAGCATCGCTGTGTGTCCACGTCCATATTCATAATTGGGATAATTTTGCCTTGTCGCATCCTAGTTTCATCCGGTGCCTAAACCTCAGTTTGTATAGCAGGGAGAAATTGCTGGTCATAGAGAGCGACCAAGAGAACTTTCCTTGTGGCAACTGCAATTCCGAGTGATGCTCTGTTGAGCAGTGGGCCACAAGGACAGGAACCCTGCTGATGCAGGTGGTTTTGAGAAACCCTTCTCTAAAGCAATTAGAACAACCCTGCTTCTGAACCCATGAACAAGCTTTGGTGTATTATCGAGGAGACAGTCAGGCTGTAACAAGGTTTTCCCCTTCTCCAAAGCTTGGATGTATGGAGTATAGAGCTTAGATCCCTTGGATCTCTTCAGTTTCTTCCAAACTGACATTGAAACACACACTTAGTTCCTTTGGGCATCATTGAATTTGATCAGTAACTATTGTGTGTTCATGCTTTTCTCTTCCAGTATCCTAACTGCTAGGTAAGCAGTGATGGATAAGTTGTCTATATGTATAAGAATTTAATTTTTTTTTCCTAAAGGAAAGGAAAAAAGAAAAGAAGAAAATTAGGTTATATCTTTTCATTTTTTTGGTCTTTGTATCAAGCTTTCTCTAAACATTTCCCTTCTGTTGTTTCTTGTTATTTTTTAAGATAATATTTGCAGTTGATTTTGTATTCTAAACCAATGTTGCCCTTGACTACTATAAGTGTCTTGTCAAAGAAACAAAATGTTTGCTGGCTGAGATAAATTTCTAGGCTCTTTTAGTCTTCTCTTTGTAGCAGTTGCTTTACATTAATTAAACTTCATTGAGAAATTGTGGGATGGTAGTTTGGTGATTGTTCTTTTGTCCATTTCTTCTCCTTCCACCTTTTTTTTTTTAGCACTAGCAGCTTGTTTAAATAGGTCATTTTGGAGCTGCCTCAACTACATGCTCTGTCTTCTTATTTTTGATATTAATTTTGATCTTTGCTTTGACAAATTTGAACATATATTGCTGATTTGAAAATGACTCCCTCATTGATAACCAGTCATTTTTGGTGTTAGAATCTAATCAGTTACATTTTTTTGTGTTATTTAATGCTTGCCATGTTTCATACCTCCTGACTCTTTTAAAGAAAGTTTTTGAGCTATATAGGCCACAGGAATGTGGCTTCTGAATAGTTTTTGGCCCGTTTCTTTGCTTATTCCTGAACAAAGCTTTACAACATATGCTGACATTTGCATTGAAGGTACAGGGTATTAGTGTATGTCTTGAGTGTCTTAGAAGTTCTTTGAATCAGGGTATCCCTATGAAGTTTTCCATAGGATTGCTGTCCCCTCACCTTCTGCAACAGAATCTGCACGTAAATGGCAGTTATTTTTATGGTAATCTTTTTTGCAAATGCACACAATAAGTACTGGGTTATTTGGATGACCAAGTATCTCATGAAATAATACCTCTTATCTGTGTGATAAAACCATTCCTGCCAACTCCTTTATTTGCCTCTTTATAGCAAGCCTGTAAACCATCTCTCCATTTAGCAGAATATGGGTTTGGATTATATTCAGCCTAGGAAATCTGTGTGGAAGCCTTTTTTAGGTTAAGTCAGTTCTTAGCCCAGTTAAGAAACCATTATGTGCCTCACAGGATATAGGATGTAGGTATATTTTCTTTCTTATTTGACATTTGCTTGAGTTCTCATGTTCACATCCAACCTGTATCAGCCAGAAAATAAATTAGCATATCCAAATCCCTATTTGCTGGAGTTTCAGATTATTGCAATAAATAAGATGGTGGTTTTTTGTTGCTTTATTTAAATAAAGAATGTTAATTATAGTGTTTGTAACCTAGTGAACTATAAAATTATCTATAGGTAGGTAACATATTTCTTTGTCTTTTGAAACAGATATGTCCTCATCAGTAAGCCCCCAATATGGTCAGAGAAATTAAAAATACAATTTCTTGAAGGTTTTCGATCCTTCCTGAAGATTCTTGCATGCATGCAGGTACTTTATTATCTCTGGTCATCATTAATGGAAGACATATAGAGGAATGATATTAAATCTATCTAAAATCATTCTGGTCTTTTTATCTTTGAAGATCATAAATGACAAGTTTTCTTTTTTTACTACATGTAGGAGGCAGCCTAGCATAAGGGAAAGAATGCTGACTCTAGAGTCAAACAATCTGGATTTTCAAATCTTGCATCTGATACTACCTGTGTGACCTTGGGCAAGTCACTTAACCTCCCATAACCTCAGTTTCCTCATCTATAAAATGAAGGAGTTGGACTGGATGACCTCTGAGGTTTCTTCCAGCTACAGAGCCCTGATCCTATAAATAATTGAAATGATTTATGTTTTTTATTTTGAAGATAATTACCTTAATTGAGAAAGAACAAAGTAGAAGTTTATAACATGTGTCCCCAAATAGAATTTCCATTATGTACTCATTTAATAGTTCTGTTAGTATTTCACTTTACCTCTTTATAAAATGAACCGGTCTTTTTCTTTTAATTCTCTAGTATATTCAGTTTATGTAAATTAAAGGCATTTTTATTATTCATTTTTCTGTTAAAATGTATTTCTTTGAATTGTGATAATACTACCTTTAAAAAAGATCGCAGAAGAGAGAACAATGATGTTTTTATACAGATACACACAAGCACATACACATATATATATATTTATAAGTGTGGGTATGTGTTAGTATGTATCTGTATCTATAGCTGTATTTTAAAACTCTGTGTGTGTGTGTGTGTGTGTGTGTGTGTGTGTGTGTGTGTGTGTATTGTTGGGTTTTATTCTCAGGGAATGGAAGAGATCAAAAGGCAAGTCGGGCAGCACATTGAAGTGGAGCCAGACTGGGAGGCTGCTATTGCTATTCAGATGCAGTTGAAAAACATTCTTTTAATGTTCCAAGAATGGTGCGCTTCTGAAGTAAGTAAATCTTATGTATGAGATTTTTTTTTCTGTTTTATGTCTTTGCTCAAGTTTTTCCCTACTGGAATACCCTCCCTTTCTCTTTCCATCTTATTAAATTATACCCATCCTTTTAGGCCCAGCTCAAATGCCAGCTATTTCATAACTCTTACTCTTATACCAGCTAGAAGCTGTTGCTGCTTCTGTTCTTTAGCACTTAATTTGTATTGTTTATATGGCATTTCACAATACTGCCTTATATTTTATTTTTTGTGTATATTTCTTGTCTTTTTTAGAGATTCAGACCACCCATAGATGCAGTGACTTTCTTTGTATTCATAAGACAGTCTAACACTGTGCTTTGTACATAGGAAGAATTCTTAATATTTGTTGAATGAATGAATAAATGCCACCTGTCTAATAGGAAGCTGATTTTCTTTTCTTTGAACCTTTTTCTCCTTCTGACATCACTTTTTATATCAACGGCATTCACCCAGTTTCCAAGGTTTGAAACCTGGTGTTATCTTTGACTTTTTTCCTCTCTCTCACCTCTCATAGCCAGTTGGTTACCAAGACCTGAGTTCTGCCCCCATGACATCTCCTATAGCCATTCCCCTTCTTTTTCATCCTAGTGCCAGTACCCTAACACAGGTTATATTACTACTTACTTGGACTGTTTATTTTATTAACCTCTGAACAAGCCTTTTTTATCCTATTCTCTTACCCTTTTAGGCTACCTAATGATTTACTTGTATTGCTCCTCTACTCAGAAATCTTCATAGATTCCCCATTGCCTGTTGAACAAAGTTCACATTCTTTTACCTGGCTTTTAAGGCCCCACCATTCCCCCTCAAACCCTCCCTCACGGTATGTCATCACTCTACCTTTCAAGTCTTATGTTACTCCTACCAAAGATTTGGAAGGGACCACAGAGGTTGTCTCACCCAAAAGTGCCCTCTAACCTATCCTATAAGTGGCCACCCAAACTTTACTTCAGTGCTTTTTGGGAGGTTGAACATACTACCTCCAAAAGCAGACCATTCCACTTTGGGATAGTTTTAAGTCATCAGGAAGTTTTTCCTTAGAGCAAGCCTAAATTTTCCTCATTAAAACTTCTATCCATTGCTACTTATTTAACCCTCCATTGCCAAGAAGATCATATCTAACTCCTCTTCCATTTAATAGCCTTTCAAATACTTGATGTTGACTGTTATATTTTAGTAAATGTTCTCTTTACAGGCAAAACATCCCCAACATCTTCATGCGATCCTCATATATCACTTTCTGACAGCCCTTTACCATCTTAGCTGCCCTCTATGTACTTCATGTACTTATAGCCAAGTAAACTACCCTTTATCTCTTGAATATGCCCTGTCCTTTCTTGTCCCTGTGTTTCCTGCTCATGCCTTTTAAGCTCATTAAAAAATGTATACCTTAAATGCCCTCCTTTGCCTGTCTTCAATTCTTACCAGCTTGACTCAAATGTTGTCTTCTTCCAGAAGCTGTTTTCCCGACTCCTTCCTAAGTCAATAACAACCCTTTACTCACCTCACAAAGTGCTTTGTTTTATAGTTTTCTAATGAAGTTTTGTTGTATTTTAGTTATTTGTGTATGTCATATTCCCCAGCTAGATGGTAAAGAGCCATATCTTATCTAAACTTTGTATTTCTCTCTTCCCAAGTACACTGTATGGTGTTCTTTACATGTGGTTGATGTTTAGAAAATTTTTGCTGAACAGAATTAAATGACTGTCTTGTTAACATTCTTGTATTTTTGTTTGTTTGTTTTTAGGAAGAGCTTTTATTAGTGGCTTATAAAGACTGTTTTGAAGCTGTGATGAAATGTACTTTGAGTAACATTTCTCATGAAAAGTCTGTAATTTATTTGTATGGCCACACTTTGGAATACAGGCCTTACAAGGTGTCTGTAGATCCTGTCAGCATACATTTGCCCCTCTCTAGGACACTTGCTGGTGAGTATCTTTCTGACTTGTTACATGATCTTTGGTTTTTGTGTGTTCAATCTTGCTTCCAGAATAAGTCTTTATTCAGAAAGTTCTTTTTAATTCAGAAAACTGTGTTCCAAATGTCAATCTGGGAGCATGTCCAGGTTCTTTTTATTATAGAAGTTAAGCACAAATTGACTAGAGAGATAGCTCTATCTAGATACCTCTCTCTGTCTCTGTCCCTCTATATGAACATGTATAGCTATATATCTATACATCTCCCTAAATATATGTGTATGTATGTCCATTTCTACATATCTGTCTTTCTATAGAGATCTATCTGTATTTCTGTAGATAGATCTGTACCTCTATCTGTCTATCTCTCTGTATCTCTAGCTACCCATCTAGTGAGATCTCAAGTAGCTCATATTCCTTCTTGTATGTACTGTGACATAGGAAGCTGGGGATATCATATGCCTGGCACTTTGAGCAATTGATCAATGACCTGTTAAGGGAAGAAAAAAGGTTTTTGAAAATTCAGGAGGATGCTCAGTTCCATTCTTGACGCCATACTTAAAACTCTCTGACTAGTGGCCCTCACTGCTTAAAATTTTATATAGCTTTCTTTTTCTTATCATTTGCATTGAGTTAGATGGTTTCCTGAATTTATCAAGAACTTGAAGGTCTACTTCCATTTTTAATAGTATGACTTTTCATTCCACTTATTAATCTACTTCAATAAAACTGCATTGGACTTAATGGACCTAAAGAGGCATAATTATGTCTTTGAGATGCTGTTAAATAGCAGCACTCAAACTTTTTGGATCAATAGACCATTTTAATTTAGCAGCTAGTCATTTGGACATTTGCCTCTGCTCAGACCATGCCAAATATGGGTTGGCTGATTTTTTTATTGGTCAGTCTTATGATTTCATCAGCATATCAACTCTTGTAAATGAAACTCCTATCAATATGTGCCATCAGTGCAGCTTGGAGTATTAGAGTTTGGCTTCGGGCCCTGAGAAGTTAAATGATTTGCCCAGGGTCACACAATCAGTAGATACTGGCAGTACTTAAGTGTTATGAGCCCAACTTTCTATCCACAGCGAGCAGCTGTGCTGCTTCTCACCTGATACTGTATGCCATACATTGCTGCTTGCCCAGTTCTGTCTTGAGCCCCTTACTTTCTTTGACTTAACATACTGTAAACTATCTATAAGAACTTTTCACATTACACTGTTGAGAATCACTATTCTGTTTTCTGCACCTAATCAAATTTTAACAGAAATAAAGACGAAGTTGTTTTTTCTTGATACTTCCCACTGTCCAATTTCACCATCATACTGCTAATGTCACCATACTTCCCTGCTAAAATACTTGAAATGATGAACAGGATGCTTTCAGAAAAACCTGGAAAGACTTACATGAACTGATGCAAAGTGAGGTGAACAGAACCAGGGGAACATTGTTCACAGTAACAGCAATATTGTACGATGATTAAATGTGAATGACTTAACTGTTCTCAGCAATATAATGATTTAAGATAATTCCAAAGGACTCATGATGAAAAATGCTATCTACCTCCAGAGAAAGAACTGATGGAGTCTGCAGGTAGCAGCGTACTATGTTTTGGGTTTTTTTTGCTTTTTAAATTTTTCTTGGCTTTTTTTTGTTTTTTCTTTCTCAACATAACTAATAAGGAAATATGTTTTGCATCACTACACATGTATAACCTGTATAAAATTGCTTGCCTTCTTAATGTGATGGGAAGGAGAGAGAGAATGGGGAGCTCAAAATTTTTAAAAACAATTGTTAAAAAAATTTTCCACATAGTCGGAAAAAATATATATTTTTTTAAAAAATGCTTGCATTTGTCCTTATATTCTTTTATTCCTATTTTCAGTCATTCAATTTAATTGTGATGGGGTTTTTTTATTGATGATAGTTCCAAAGTATTATCTCCTTATTTCCCTTCTGTCAGATTCTGATTGTTTCACACCTGAAGATCTATACTTCTTTAGACTTACTCTCATTAGGTGACTGTTTTCAGTGCAAAATCAATATCGATCCTTCTGTATAACATTTAAGTGATAACAGAAAGACCTTGCACTTAATCCTTAACATCACATTATTTTCTATCAACATTCTAAGTCATCTTAAGAAGAAAAAAATTTTTATGTGTCTTTTAATATGTTTTGAATGTGGATTAAATTTAGAATGATCTCCATATTTTTTGTATAATGTATAAATATCACTTCTCAAATTTATTGTTGTTGTATACATATATGTAATATACATATGTATACACATAAATTTATTTAATACTGATTGCCTTTGAGTGATGTAGAGTTATAAATTGTAATTAATGGCTCATGACATAATGAGTGCTGGATTTGGAGTTAGAGAACCTAAGTTTATATTTTCCCTCAGCCATCTGCTACCTGTGTGGCCTTGAAGAAGTTCCTCTCTGGACCTCAGTATTTAAATAATCTAATAAAATAAAAGAGGAGGTTGGATTTGATGATCTTTATACTCTTATCTAGCTCTAAATCTTTCATACTTTACTGGCACTTATTAATAACCTTGATTAAAAATGGAGTTAGAAATTCAAAGATAAGAGTATTTGGAAATAAATCCTATCAATAAAAAGCAAAGTTTTTAAAGGATTGCCTTATTGTCCAGAAGGTATTAAGTTGACTTGAACAATATTAGTTGGATTTTGTTATACTCATTTTTCTTTCATGTTTTAGGTCTTCATGTTCGTTTAAGTAAGATCGGAGCCTTTTCAAGACTGCATGAATTTGTGCCTTCAGTAAGTGTATGCTTTAAGTGTTGATTTTTCTTGTCTTCCATTTCTAAACATTTCCTAGTTGATAAATAGTAAGGAATATTATGAAGAAATAGTGAAGAAGAAAAAAAAAGGATACTTTGAAAATCCACTTGAAATTCTCACTTAAAGGAGCAGCTAGATGGCGCAGTGGAGAGAGCACCGGCCCTGGAGTCCTCGTAGGACCTGAGTTCAAATCCAGCCTCAGACACTTGACACTAGCTTTGTGACCTTGGGCAAGTCACTTAACCCCATTGCCTAGCCCCCACCCCCAACAAAAGAAATTCTCACTTAGAAAGTTATCCTGTGTGGCATGTTGAAACTCCATTAGAATTTTGTAGCTAGAATTGACCTGAGAAATCCTTTGTTCAATTTACACATTTTAAAGATGAGAAAGTTGAAACCCAGAGAGGTCAGATAAGTTGCCCAGAGTCACAAGCCAGTTATTAACAAAATTAGAACTAGAACCCAAGGCTCCTTCTATCTATGTCATATTACTTGTGGAGCATATGTCTAGGTTTAAAAAAATTATTTTTTATAAAAATGTACATTTTACACTTAGAATTTTTTCTCTTGTAAGCATACCTTGCCATCTGTTAAGGGGTAATCCCAGAGGAAGGCAAGTTATTCTGCCACCCTTCCTCCTACATTATCTCCCATTTTTTTCCCCAGCAAAGCTATTACAGGCCGACAGGGCAAAAAGAACAACAGCACAAGAAGTGGATAGGTTATGTCCACTGCCAATTTTCCCAAGCTGCTTGCTCTATGTATTAGCAGTTTCACTACAGCTCCAAAATATACAGTCCTGTCTCTACAAATAAATCTACTCAAATTAAAAGGCTAATCTTGTATGCTGTTTACTTTTAGGAAGATTTTCAAGTGGAGCTGCTGATAGAATATCCCTTGCGTTGTCTGGTTTTGGTTGCCCAAGTTGGGGCTGATATGTGGCGAAGAAATGGTCTGTCTTTAATTAGCCAGGTACATCAAAGTCTGCTCTTCACATTGATGAATCTAAACTGTCGTTGAACCGTTTTCATTAATGAATCTATGTGTAGACTATTATGGATATATGTTGCATGACTATACATGTATAACCTGTATGCAATTGCTTGCCTTCTCAATGAGTGGGGGTGGGGAGTGAGGAAGGGAGAGAATTTAGAACTCAAAAGTTTTTAAAACGAATGTTAAAAATTGTTTTTACATGTAACTGGGGAAAAATAAAATACTAAATAGAAAAATGAATCTACATGTGCAGTGAGGCTAGCCCTCAAGCAACAAATGGGGTATTACCAGGCCTATTTTTGAAGCCTTTCCTGATCAATAGGACCTGCTAGGGCTTGTGCTCTACTGGCATAGTTTTCGAGAACCTTTGCCCTCATCATGAGAAAGGATCAGACTAGGACTTTAGTGGTGGATGATTTCACATATTGAATTAGTTCATTTAACAAGCATGTATTGATTACCTGCTTTGTGCCATCCACTATACTAAGGGCTTAGGATACAAATGCAAAAAAGAAATAGTTCCTGTTCTCAGGGAATTTACATTCTGTTAAATAAATGAAACCATTGATCCTGATTTACAAAATCTACTTTGATGAGAATAAACGGATTGTCTCAGGTTTGCCTATTGAATTCTTTACTGTTTTTTAAAGTCTAACTCAAACATCCCTTCCAAGAAGCCTTCCCTGGTCTACCCTGGGATTGAGGGAGAAAGTAATGACCTTCACCCTTATGCTTCATATTATACTTTGTTTTGCAACTCCTTAATATACCTATCATTTATTATTGTTTGTTTAGTTATCTTTTTTTAAACTTGGTGGGTGACAGGGTTAGGGGAGAAGGGAGGGTACGCAATGCCATGTTCTATCCAAACTATTTTACCCAAAGATATTACTTTGCATAGAAGAACTCTTTAAGAAATATTTGCTAATTTGCATGCATGTCGCAATTTTTATATTCAAAATTGTCTCTTTACAGTCTATTTATCTTACAGTATCATGCTCTTTATTACAAAAGGGAAAGGAAAATTTTGAGAGTTAGCTCTCAAATATGACTAGAATAAATGATAAGCCTTAAAGATGCATGAGCTCCAAAGAGAAGAGAAAGGGGATTAGACTTATCCGCTAGTATAACTTCCCTAACTTCTTACTGTCCTTAGATAATTTCTAGATTTGTTGTTGTTGTCCTGTCCAACTCTTTGTGACCCTGTGGATCATAGCATGCTAATGCTGTCCATGGGATTTTCTTGGCAATATACTGGAGTGGTTTTCCAATTTCCAGATTAGTAAGAATTGTTTGTTGTTGTTGTTAACCTTAATTAAAATTTCTTTCTTATATATCTATTTACTTGTTTTTACCTTGTAGGTATTTTATTATCAAGATGTTAAATGCAGAGAGGAAATGTATGACAAAGATATCATCATGCTTCAGGTGGTAATCTCTTTCTAATTATAACTTATTATTGCCTTATTACTCCTCAAAATCTTCTGTACTTAAGCTATTGTAGTTATTTCTTAATTTTATCAACTTTTCTTTCATTGCTAGTGCAGAATATGGTAGAATAATGATGAAAGTTGCTACTGGATAATCTTGCACTAGCTTCTTTTGTAATTTTCCTGACAGTTATATGAAAACTAAGTTACAGTTATTAGCAAGTGAAACATTTTATGGTTATGTATGCTTCTGGGTATATCACACAGATTGGTGCATCTTTGATGGATCCCAACAACTTCTTGTTATTGTTACTTCAGAGATATGAACTGATTGATGCATTTAAGAAGTTTGTCCCTTCCAAGGACCAGGTAAGTGACAGAATGGGGTAGTTGAAGTCATTCCATCGATACCAATCTTAAACATCCTTTTATCATGGTTTCATTGTATTAGTATTTAGAGGTTACCATGCCAGTTGGTCATTTGGGATGTACATAATAGCACCACTTAACTATGTGGAGTCTCTTGTAAGACATGAGATGATAGGACAAGACATTACAAAGCTTTTTTAAAAAAATTAATCATATATTGTAATGTTTACTTGCTATAACTCAATATCCACTTTTACTAAGTAAAGTATACTGCCACCATGGGTGACAGCCTTGAATCCGCAACTACTTTTTCTTCTAAACAGGGAAGGAAGAAACTAATAATTGAGGAAAGGAGTAAAGGTTAGTTAGAATTAGTTTCATTGTTGAATATTCTTTTATAGGAAGCTAACAACATATGGGGGTACATCCTTAGCCTTTTGAGGTTGGTTATCATTGCCCTGGTGCCACAATTAGAGTCTGGAAATATAGAAATAAATGAACCATTGAACTGACATTTTTCAGTTCTTATGTTCTAATGTAACTGATTTATTCTTTTAAAAATTCTATAGGATGTGGTTAAACAATATAATTCACTAATAGAAGAAGTGCTTCAGCTCTTCATCTACATTGTGGGTAAGAATCTTGAGGTAACAAGATTAAAACAAATATTTTTGAAGTAGAATATTATTGCTTTGAGAAGGAGAATTAATGAGGTTGCTGCAGTTTTATTCAATTCATTCTCCTAATGCAATGCAGAACGTTAATTTCAAGGTAAATTGTGACTAAAAGGCTTAGGTAGCCACTGTCAGAAAGCATAGGATTTATAGATTTGACTTTGGTTGCTTGATGTAAATTGACTTAGAAGTGTCTTGAAGATTGATGATACTTTGTCTTGAGGGGGGAAAACTTAGATGAAGAAAGCCTGCAAATCTGGTGTTGACAGCTTTTTAGGCATGGGAAGATATTGAAGGTATTGTAGGTATTATGAGAAGTAAAATATTATTTCACCTTTTATTTTCATTTTTTTCTATTTTCTATTTTCACAGTAATATGGAAATGTTGGACATTTTTCCATGAATGGTGGTCAGGGAAAGCAGAGCTATATTCTGTACCATCAGTAGTCTTGGTCATTTACATTGACTGTTAGAGATGGAAATTTCATAATATAGCTGCAGTTAATCTAAATATTCCTTGATTAACAGAAATCAGTTTGCAGGTTCTGAATTTAAAACTCAAGGACAGTTTCCTTGTTTGGCAGCTTGGGTAGAACAGAAAGCACTGAATATGGATGTTAGAAAACCAGTTCAAGTCCCAGGTGTCCTCTACTGACAAGTTCTGTGACCTTTGTGCTAAGGCACGTGATCTCTCTGAACCTCAATCTCCTCATCTAGAAAATGAGGAGAATAATACCTAGTTGTCCTATCTAGTGATTGGATGGATTAAATGAAATAAAATATCTGAAATGACGTATAAAACACATATACATAAGAGCTATTGTTATTACTAGTTAATCATATATTTCAGCAGCTGATGTAGTTAAGCTGTCATTGCAAAACAAGAGCTGAATATTTTGGTCTTTAGAGGTATGTGGTGCTTTCCCTCACTCAATTCCACTCCACAAATTACATAGCCGTTACTGGTTGAAGGTAAGAGAGCAGTAAATTCTAAAGGAAAAGTTCAAAAAGATAGTCATAGAATTATTTAAGATATAAAGTTAGGCATTTAAGGCATTTTTAGGTTGACAAAACTGCCAAACTATTAAGACTTTAGGAATTGCTTTTTCTTTAGTGGAGATAAAGAGAAAAGTTCTTAAGATAATGCTATTTTCATTTTTAATATTTTTATTTTGAATAGAGTTATGTTCATATTTTTGCTTTTTTAATCAGAAATATATGACTAGAAGAGAGGCAGTGTGGTGTAATAGAGAGAGAGCAAATGTTAAAGTTAGGAAGCCCTCAGTTCAAGTCTTAGGCTGGTCATGTGAAATTCAAATAGAAACAGGGTCTCTAAACCATACAAGGATCTCTATAACTTAGAAAACCACATACTAACATTATCTATGTTCTTTTGTGTTTTTATTTAGTTAGTTGAATATTTTCCAATTGCATCTTAATCTAGTTCCACATATTTCAGGCCTCTATGTCCATGTTTGACTCCTCTGCCTTAGGCAACTCTCCAATACTAAAAGTTGCTGACTAGTTTTCTATGTGCCTTGGTAAGGGAAGCTTCTTTATCTGCAGTTGCCAACATCAGATCAGAGGTCTGGGCAGCCCCCTTCATTGCTCCCCCCCAACATGATTGATAAAAGACTTATTGTATTTTTAGGTATAAGTTCAATTGGTGGCCAAAATATCTTCAGAAGAGTTTTCATAATAAAAGGCAGCGTGCTATGATGTAATGAATGACTCCTAGAATAAGGGTCAGAGGTGTGTAGCTGACCACTCTGATGTTACTGCTAGCTCTGTGACCTTAAAGGGTTTTGGTTTTTTTCTGGGTTTCAGTTGCCTTATTTGTAAAATGATGAGGTTGGATTAGATAAGCTCTAAGGGCTTTCATGGCTCTAGGATTCAGTGATTCTATTTTAAAAATTAATTTATTTTGATTTATCAGCAATCACTTCCATAAGCTTTTGAGTTTAAAACTTTTCTCCCACTCCTTCCCTACCTCCCTTCCCAAGATGGCACACAATGTGATATAGGCTATACAGATACATTCCTATTAAACATATTTTCTTATTAGTGATATTGTAAGTAAGAATTAGAACCAATAGGAGGAATCACCAGAGAGAGGAAACAAAATAAAACAGAAGGAAAAAAAAGAGCAAATAGTATGCTTTGATCTGCATTCAGACTCCATAGTTTTTTCTTTGGATGTGGATAGTATTTTCCATCATGAGACCTTTGGTGATGTCTTAGATACTTGCATTGCTGAGAAGGGCTAAGTCTATCAAAGTTAGTTATTGCATGACGTGGCTCATTCTCCTGGTTCTGCTCACATCACTCAGCATCAGTCCATACAAGTCTTTCCAAGTTTTTATGAAGTCTTCCTGCTCATCATTTCTTATAGCACAATAATATTCCATTACATTCATGAACCACAACTTGTTCGGCCATTCCCTAATTGATGGGCATCCCCTCAATTTCCAGTTCTTTGACACCACAAAAAGAGCTGCTATGAATATTTTGTGCATATGCATCCTTTTCCCATTTGTATGATCTCTTTGAGATACAGCCCTAGAAGTACTGTTTGCTGGGTCAAAGGGTATGCACATTTTTATAGCCCTTTGGGCATAGTTCCAAATTGCTCTCCAAAATGGCTGGATCATTTCACAACTCTACCAACAATGCATTAGTGTTCCAATTTTCCCACATCTTCTCCAACATTTATCATTTTCCTGTTTTGTCATATTGGCTAATCTGATAGGTGTGATATGGTACCTCAGAGTTGTTTTGATTTGCATTTCTCTAATCAATAGTGATTTAGAGCATTTTTTTCATGTGACTATAGATGGCTTTAATTTCTTCATCTGAGAACTGCCTGTTCATGTCCTTTGACCATTTATCAGTTGGGGAATGACTTATATTTTAAATTTGACTTAATTCTCTATGTATTTTAGAAATGAGGCCCTTATCAGAAACATTGGTTGTAAAAATTTTTTCCCCAATTTTCTACTTTCCTCCTAATCTTGGCTGCATTGGCTTTGTTTGTGAAAAAACTTCTCAATTTAATGAAATCAAAATTATAGGATTTGGTGATTCTAAGTCTGTTCAGTTCAGCATACATTTACTGTGCATGCCATGGTGCAGAAGACATCATCCTTGTCCTTATGGAGAGTGTAACCAGTAGCAGAGGGGCACTTTTTGTGATAGCAAAGAATTGAAAACAAAGTAGATTCCCATCAGTTGGGGAATAAGCCAAACAAATTGTGGTACATGAATGTAATGAAATATTACTCTGCTATAAAAAATGATGTAGGGCAGCTAGATAGCACAGTGGATAGAGTGCAAGCTCTAGAGTCGGGAGGATCTGAGTTCAAATCCAGTCTTAGATATTTACTAGCTGTGAAACCCTGGGCAAGTCACTTAACCCTGTTTGCCTCAGTTTCTCATCTATAAAATGAGCTGGAGGAGGAAATGAAAACCACTCCATTATCTTTGCAAAGAAAACTCCAAATGTGCTCATGAAGAGCTGGACAGGACTGAAACAAGAATAACAAGAAGAAGCCATGATGTACATGATGAATACAGAGAAGCATGGAAAGACTTACATGAAAGAGTGAAGTAAGCAGAGCCAGAATACAGGCAGTCAGCAGTCATTTATTAGGCATCTACTACAACAATGTAAATTGAAAGAACAACCACTTAACAAAAATGAATGTTGCATAATTACAAAGAACAAGATTGGTCTCTAAGAAGACATGAGAAGATACCTTTACCCCACTCCTTTGCAGAGGTGGGGAATCAACGAGTGTGGAACATTACATACATTGTTAGATTTTATGGAGAGAGAGAGAGAGAGAGAGAGAGAGAGCGAGCTAGGTTTCGCTGATTTTTTTTCTTTTTTCTCTTTAAAAAATTTTTTCTGTTATATGGAATTACTCTCTAGATTTAAATAGAGGAGTGGACACATGAAGGAATGTTAGATGATGTAAAGATATCAATAAAATATAGTAGCACAATGAAGACACGCATAATGTGGTGTTATAGAAGGACTGAAATAAAGTCTATGGGAACACAAAGTACAGAGATAGCATTTCAACAGGCTAAGCAATTATAATTATTATTTGAGCCAATCCTGCAGTCATGATACCTGGTATCCATTACACAGTAGTAGTGACAGGCAGGTAATTAAACCCTGTTGACCTGTAATTTGTGTATTAGATATTTAGGTATTTTTCTGGTAAAAATCTCAGGTAGCTTATTTTCTAGGGTCAGTCGGACCTTATGTTGGATGCTTAGGATGTAGATATTGGGAGCAGTTAATTAACTTGGTCAGAGTTGTGCTTCAGGATTGCTCTGTCGCATGGAAATTGGAAGTTTAATGGATGGACAAATGATTTACTTTAGAGTAAATTTCTGAACGGCAGCAATTCCATTAAGCAAGGGATTCGTCTCATGACAAGGCCAGGCGCTATTACGGTACCTCCACAGAAGCTTCACTGGGTATTGCTAATGGTAGCTGGAACTGGATATCTAGATGGCAACTGGAGCATGAGAGATTCTCTGTTACTGCTAATAGGCTCATGTGATTGATGGCTGTGATGAAGAATCTGGCTACATGGCTTCCTTTTTACAGTTTGGGCTAGTGAAGTTGCAACTACAGCAACACCAGGCTGTCCCTATTTGTTGTTGTTGTTGTTGTTCAGTAATAAAGGTATCTTGCCAAGTACTTTAAAAAGTGACTTTTAAAAAAGAATTGTCACTTTATTCCTTTTTGAGAAGAGGCAGACAAGGGACAAGTTATTGATTAGCAAAGTGTGAACAAGAAACAGTTCAGCGATATCAGCTGTTCATGTGCTCTGTGCCTGATTTAAATTGACTAGAGGTTGTCATAATTAGAAATATTTTCTAATTTAGTTGAAGGGACTTTGTAGTTTGAAGTATGGGTAGATGGCTGACTGGCTGGATGAATGAATGAATGAATGAGTAATTATTAAGTGTTTACTGTCCTAGAGGGTTTAAATTTAGAGAACATTTGCAAATAATATTTATCATTTACCACACAAGCTGATATTTCATGAAATGTTATTTTACAAGTGCCGCATGGGCAGTTACAAATTAGATAAATAGTACTGGTGTTCTAACTTGTATCATTCTTCATTTTTCTTTTATTGTTCTTATTAGGAGAGCGTTATGTGCCTGGAGTGGGTAAGGTGAACAAAGAAGAGGTTCTCATGAGGGAAATTATCCATTTACTTTGCATTGAGCCCATGCCTCATAGTGTCATTGCCAAATCCTTACCAGAGAATGTGAGTAGGAGTTTTTTTTTTGCCCTTTAATTAAAAACTCTTCACTTTTTAGGTCCCCTCCACCTTTATTAATTATAAAATCAAAGCTTCCTAAAAGAGGAGTTTTCCTGAAATATTATGATATATTTATGTCTGTGTACACACAGATCTCAAAAGTTTTACCACCATGTAATATTTGCATTTTTAGACACAAATTCAAAATTTTCTGCTGAAGTATGATGGAGTTGTGATCTCTGATGGTGTAGGGAGTATTTGAACTAATACAAATCAGAGATTTTTTAGAATATTGAAAGTACATGTATGTAACTTCCAAGTTGTAGTCCCAAAGAATGTTATTATAACCCATTTATTTTTCTACTAAGAGAATAAATAATCATTTAATAGTATTTTAAGGTTTATAAAGTGCTTTTCTTTATAACAGGTCCTATGCAGTAGATAGTATAATTATATTCACTTTGCAAATGAGAAAACTGAAATTCAGAATTCCTTATATTTGCCCACAGTTATGCAGAATGCATTAGAGTGGGCTTCAAAACCATGTCTCAACTCCAAATGCAATCAATATTCTTTCAGTTACACCAGGCTAATTTTGAATCAGAATAAAAATTCTTAAATGTAAGGTAGTCAAGTAGTTGGTTCTATTTTTTATTCCCTCTATAGAGGTGGAACAGAGATATTCCTTGAATCAGTGGTTTATGTTAGTTCAGATTATTTCTATTTCTTTACAATTTCATTATAACAAGAGTGATTTTTCCTCGTAAATTTCAGAAACTCATCAAAATAGTCTTCAATTAAAGACTCAGTTTTGCTTATAAGTCAGGGCCACCTCAAATCTTTCACTTCTTACCTTGTCATTCATTTTTTAGTTGTGTCCCAACTCTTCATGACCCCATTTGGGATTTTCTTGACAAAGATACTGGAGTGGTTTGCTATTTCCTTCTCCAGCTCATTTTATAGATGAGGAGACTGAGGCAAACAGGGTGAAGAGACTTGCCCAGGGTCACACAGCTAGTGTGTGAGGCCGCATTTAAACTCAAGATGAGTCTTCCTGACTCCAGGCTTGGCATTTTATCCACTGTGCCATCTAGCTGCCCCATCTTACCTTGAGAGATATGTATTTTTTTTTAAAAGAAGCATGTATTTCCAGGTTTTGTGAGAGATAGACTATAGATACCCCAATCTTATTTTTGTCATTTAAAGAAATAACATTGAATTTTCTCATTATAAACAGCTTTTTGTGAAATAGCATCCATAGAGTGAACATTTAGAAACCTATATTCAAAAAATAATAGCTTAAGCTTGTTAGAAAGAGTATTTTGAATTACATTTGAAAATCTACATAAATATACATTTTGGTATAGATCACAAGTTGAATTCTCTATTTTATAGCCTTATTTTATAGATATTAGTACATTGTAGCTGTGTATACTTACTACTGTTGGTGATGATTATGTAAGAATAAGTCAGTAAGGTGAATGTAAGCATATCTTCAAAATACCTTTGTTTCAGAAATGTGAACAAAAATGTTTCCAGCCTTATATTACAGAATATATAAATGCTACGTATTCAGACTCAGTAGTAATGTAGTAATGTGAACATTAGAGATAAATAATGTGTATAAAAATGAAAATCCACCTTACTTACTGACTCATCCTTATACTTTGCAACAAAAAGATCTTTATACTTGATCAACTGATAATTTATACAAAATTATATGAAGTCAAACTTTACTAAAAGGTTGATAACATAACATCACTGTCTGAAACTGATGAGACAGTTGAGATTTTGGTTAGGAAAATTTGCCCAAAAAGCTAAAATGTAATTTCCTCTTTATTGTACTACAGATTAACTTTTTATTATTATTTACAGAGCAGTATAGTTGTCTGACAGAGTTGTGAAGCTTTCTGTCATGTGAGTAACAGAAAAAGAATGACATTATATAAAGGCAAATAACAAAAATATTATTTCCACAGGAAAACAATGAAACTGGCTTAGAGAACGTCATTAACAAAGTGGCCGTATTTAAGTAAGTGCTTAGTATTTAAAGTTATTTTAAAAACTAGTATGATCGTTATTCATGTATTTTGTAGAAGTTAAAAAATGCTTATCTGAACTTCTAGAATTGTAACACTCCAAGATATTTATTTCTAAGCACACAAAGGATAATTTAAAAGTTAATTCAATATTATTAGAAACCAGGGGACCTTTTTTATTTCTTTTTTTAAAAATTTCTTACAAAACCTCAAGAAAAGGTATTTCTTAATTGTCTGTATTAAAATCATGGCAAAGCCAAATAATGTTAAGTCTTGAATATAGAGCACCATGATTCTGTAGCTTTACCATGTAGAGAAAGCCTATCATTATAGCATTATTGCTTTGAGTTTAAAGCCTTTTTCATCTCCTTTTCAAATATAAGTACTTCTGAGGCTGGACATACCTTAAATTAATTTTGCTTCAGAACATCCAAAGCCTCGGGGCAACTGAAGGATTTTGTTAAGTGTGAGTAAGCGCAGACAATTAGAGATCTTTAGTGGGATGAGGGTTGGGAGGAGGGTACTCAAATCCAGCAAGTCTTAATAGATTAGTTGGCTGCCAAATAACAGCAAACATGGACCATGGAATGGATTCTTTTGGGGAGTCGATAAAAAGGCATCTAGGGAAAGTATGGTGGTTGGACTTGAGGAAGTAAAGAGTATTAAAAAGAAAGGAGATTTGCAGGGTTCCTGGAAGGGCACCTTGCATAAATTTGGCCAATTTTGTTTGACTATCACTGATTCTTCCTGGAGGTGATAAAAGTGAAACCTTATAAGTATTCCTTACTATATGGTCCATAGGCCCAATCTGATGATCCATTCTCTCCAGATACTTTTAGTTCTAAGAGTAGAGCTCTTATTATATAATAAAAAATAATTACAGGGAGTCTAAAAAGAGGACCTAACCTGGGAACATTTAAAGGTAATTGAGTAAACATAAACTGTGATATTTAGGCATAAATTGTGATGTTACAGTTTTGGCGCCTTTCTCTAGCATTTCCATGGTGTCTTTTAAAAATCTGTTGACCCACAAAATATTATTTTGTTTAAAGAAAAAACTAGTTATTGGTTGAAGGAGAAATATCTTTTATTAATTAAAAAATCCCTTCCTTGGGTTTATTTGTTTAATATTTTATATTTTAAAATTTTATTTCAAATAAATAGACACTGTAACTGCTATGAATGTATTCTGATTTATTTCTATGAAGAGTTTACGATAGAAACTTTAAAAAACTGCAAAATTAAGTTATGAATCTTGAATACTTTGAGGAAAGTATAGGTTTGATTATATGGTGTCACGAAGGAATGGAAGTTAGGGGATGGAACGTGGGTGAAAATCTATGTCTTATTTCCTCTCTTTTCTATATATATATATTTATTCTCTCAGTGATCATCTCCTAAGGGTTCAGTTATCTGTCATTTTCCTTATTAAGGAATCACGTGAGGCCTTTCTGAGTTTCAACCTCCAAACAAGGTTTTTTTTTCCCCCCAAACAAGATTTCTGCAAGCATACTTCTTATTTACCTACATACTGCCATCCTCCTTTGAAAGGCTCTTAATTCCAAACGTCTTCTTCTGTCAGTGGGCATTTCTCTATAAGCAGGGTTCAGTTCTGTTTAGACTTAACTTGAAGAAAGTAGGGAAAACATCAGACCATATAGGCATGACCTAAATAACATCCCTCATGCATATGAAGTGAAGGTGATAAATAGATTTAAGAGATTAGATCTGATAGAAGAACTGTGGACAGAGGTTGTGTTGTGCAGGAGGCAGCAGCAAAAAACATCCCAGAGAAGAAGCACAAGAAAACAAAATGGCTGTCTGATGAGGCTTTACAAATAGCTGAAGAAAGAAGGAAAGAGAAGGGAAAGGAGAAAAGGAAAGATATACTTAACTGAATGTAGAATTTCAGAATTCTCATTTTCGGTGGAACAGAATAGGTCCCGCTGAATTGAACAGGTATGGATGGGTTATAGTCTGCATTGCAGATCTCATTACATTTTCTCCCAAACCCATCTCCTTTTTGAGTTTTCCTTTTTTTTATTGAGGGCATCAGTGCCCTTCTAGTCATTCAGATTCACAACCTTGATGTCATATGCAACACTTCACTTTCACTAAAGCCAATATCTGATTAGTTGCCAAATCTTATTTATACCATCATATCTCTCAAATCTGTCCCTTCCTTTCTACTTACATTGCTACCACCCTGGTTGAGGCCCTAATCACATCTTGCCTGAACTATTTCAGTAGTATTCTAATTTTCTCCCTCCTTTTACTAATCCATCTTCTGCACAAGTGAAAGCTGCTAAAGTGATTTTCCTAAAGATCTGACCATGTCATTCCCCTATTCAGTTTACTCTAGTGGCTTCCTATTGTCTCTAGGAACAAAATTTTTTCCTTGCTTCTATCATCTTTTCAAAATTTCTATTGTGTGTTGTTTTATAGTGTAATTATTAGTATATTTGTAATATATAATTCATAAGTTAATTTGCATATTTGGGGGGTGTGTGCTCAATATTTTCTTGTTGATAGGGTGGCATGATCAAAAAAGTTTGGACCTCTGGTCTGAAAAGTAGGCATTCGTTTTGTCTACTTACCTTGTTTGGATTAAGTTGGACTTTTGAGTGGTTGTATATCTCTTTTAGGAGTCTTTGACTGTTGTAACATTATCTGCCGGTGGGACCATTTGGACCAACATCATTGTCTATAGAGAACCCTTCTTCCGTTTGCTCTTTGAACTTTACTGGGCGTATAGAATAATACCATTTTCCTTTTAAGGAAATCATTTATTAATGTATTTTGTTAGACACAACAATCACCTCCCAGTAACCCTTTCCTTATTTTTACTTATATTTAAGTGGATCTGCATATTCTTTAATATGGGTACACTCCTCACCCCTGGAAAAAATAATTATATGGATACTTCCTCTGATAGTGCAGATCATAACCCATCCAAAGCTTCCCATAGTATACAGTTTTAGAGTCTCCCTAGAATATGGGCAACTAGGTAGCACAGTGAATAGAGCACTAGTCTTGGAATCAGGAAGACTTACCTTCATGACTTCAAATTTGGCTTTCAGTTTCCTCATCTGTAAAATGATCTGAAAAAAGGAAAGGCAAACCAATCCATTGTCTTTGCCAAACAAAAAAACTCACATGGGGTCATGAAGAGACTGATAGAACTGAAAAACGACAATGACAACTTGTAAAAATTTTCATATTTGTACATTCAAGCAAAATAAATTCCTATACTGGCTATGTCCAAAAAATATATCTCAATCCATACATATGTCATCACCTCAGTAGGAAGTAAGTAGTAGACTTCTTCATTGAATCCTTGGAATCATGCTTGGTCATTTTATTTATCATAGTTCCAAGTCTTTTGAAGTTTGTCTTTACAGTGATATATAAATTATTCTGATTCTGATTACTTCATTCTACATCAGTTTACATATGTCTTCTCAAGTGTCTCTGAAACTTCTTTGATTTCAGCATAATAGTATTCTATTACATTCATATTCTATGCATTATTCCCTATGGCTTTCTGCTGTAACAGAAGTTTCTTTTTCTATCAGATAAACTGAATAAAATGTGATTAGGGTTAATTTTTGTTTGTTTTTTCAATTTTGTAGTTTGTATTAATTTTCCAGTTTTAATTTTGGCTCAGTAAAGCTTTTAAACATTACAGTTGATCTGCTTATTTTAAATCTTTTTAGGAAACCTGGTGTATCAGGTCATGGAGTTTATGAACTGAAGGAAGAATGCATGAAAGAATTCAATATGTTTTTTTATCACTACTCCAAAACACAACACAGCAAGGTAGGAAATATTATGTAAAAGACAAGGAGGTAGGCATTACTACTTTCTTCTTTTCTCTTCTTCCTAAAGAAAATTGAACAAAGAATTAAAAGGGGCCCCAACTTGGAAAAGAAATAGGAAAAATGCAAACACATTTGAAAAATAGTTTAACATATTTCCCAAATGAGTCTTGAGTCTTTGTTTGAGTCTTGAGGTCGTTGTTTGATTTTGTTTTCATGTATGTGTTTTTTAATTGTAACTTTAAAAAACCATGGCCGATTATCACATCAACAGAATTAAAGGCAATCTGCATACTTAAAAAACAACACCCACAGACCCTCCCCCCTGGCGCCACCCAAAAGCCACATTTTTGGACGTTTTGTTTTGAATAAGCCTGTTTGTGTACATTAGTCTAAAAAGATGAATCCTAAAAATAATGTAGGACATCTAGGTGGTGCAGTAGATAGAATGCCAGGCCTGGAGTCAGAAGGCTCATCTCCCTGAGTTAAAATCCAGCCTTAGACACTAGCTGTATGACCCTGGGCAAGTCACTTAACCCTATTGCCTCAGTTTCTTCTTCAGCAAAATGAACTGGAAAAGGAAATGGCAAACCACTCTAGTATCTTTGCCAAGAAAATGACTGAAATGACTGAACAACAACAAAAATAATTGAGCTATAATTCTTCTGAATACTATTAGCAGCAGTGTTTCTAGCTCTTTTCTGAATTTACAAGTTTAGCAAGTGGAATGTTTTATGCTTTCTTACACCAAGAACAAATATTTTGGTTTTCTTTTTGCTATTCCATACTGGGTTCCACTAATGTAGGAACATTGAATGGGCATCAATGTTAGTTCTAGTAACTTTTATAATCATGAAATGATACCAGTTACAAAATGTTTCCTGCAAGATGATTTTTTGCATTCCTAAGAAGAAAAGCCAGTCCTGGAACAGTAAAGTCATTTCCTAGGAAAACAAATTCCTTTTATCTAAATTTCCTATTGCAATTAAATTATGAAAGTGTAAGTGCCTACAACCTGGCCTCTTTTTTAAAAATAATTTTTTATTGATATCTTTTGCTTACATATTGTCTAAATTTATCTATCCCCTGAAAATCCATCCCCTAAATCTTTCCCCTGAAAGCCAGCTCTTAAGATAAAGAATTTTTTTCTTAAAGAGGAAGAAGAGGAAAAAAATCAGCAAAACTAATTAATACCTGGAAAAATCTGAAGTATAGACAATGTTCCACACCCAGGGACTGCAGTGTCACTAATCCTATCCTTCCTTCCCTGTCCCTGCTTCTAATTCAAATCGAAATCCATCCATTCTGTGAAATTAAACACTTTGATTGAATATACCAGAGATGATGTGGGCACACAGATAATCAAGTCTGCTACTCTTCTAACTGTTGTGACATGGGAACTTAACACTAAGCTGGGAATGAAGTCTGTAAAGGAGAGCACTTCACATTCTGTTCTCCCCTTCCTGCCCATACCTCTGCCCTCTCTCCAACTAGGACTTCAGTTTTAGGAACTGAAGAAGGTTTCCCAAAGTCTTCTTAGAGCACCTAATAAAGGGTTGGAAGAGTACTATTTTAAACCACTTCTTGACTTTTAGGTTGATATAACCTTATTGATTGTTGAGTCATTTTGATTGAACACAGTAAGTTGTCAAAATATGTGTGGCCCATTAAGGTCCTCTAATGGGTAAGCCTTTTACATAGTATTTATAATGTGATAGCATTAAATTTATATTTTTGTTTCTTTTAAGAATTAATTTGGTATTTTATCCAGAACAGTATCTAAGGCCATACTTAGAGCTTCATTCATTTCTTTTTGGGGGGTGGGGCGCGGTGTGAGGCAATTGGGGTTAAGTGATTTGCCCAGGGTCACACAGCTATTAAGTGTTATGTGTCTGAGGCCGGATTTGAACTCAGGTACCCTTGACTCCAGGGCTGGTGCTCTGTCCACTGGGCCACCTAGCTGCCCCCATACTTAGAGCTTCAAGAGACCTTAGAGGTCATCTTTCCTACTCCCTCATTTTATAAATACGGAAAATGACACAGAGAGACTAAGAATCTAAAATGTCCTAATATTAGTCATGCCTGCTTAAAATTAACTATTCTCTGGTTAATATAATATAATTAGGGATAAATTTTCTTTTATAGGCTGAACATATGCAGAAGAAAAGGAAAAAACAAGAAAACAAGGACGAAGGTAAGACGTGAGATGGTAAATTGAACCAGCTTTGTGCTTTAAAGAATTCTAGCTCAATTATTTTTGTTGTTGCTCAGTCATTTCAGTCATTTTCTTGGCACAGATACTAGAATGGTTTGCTATTTCCTTTTCCAGTTCATTTTGCTGAAGAAGAAACTGAAGCAACAGGATTAATTTAATTAACAGTTCTTTTTTATAAGTTTGAGGGGGAACTGTTTTGGACAGCTGATAGGAAAAGGAAAATTTCTTGATTCTTGTTCATCTCTTAAGATTTGGTTCACATCAGTGGGGAAGGGAGCAAAGAAAGTTTGTTCTGAGTGATCAAAGCAGTGGCTATAAGCGACTATAAGATATAATCTTTTTTTTTTCTTTTAAAATTTTATTTCAAGCTTAAATGCTTCGTTCATCACATACCTTCTGGAGGCATGGTTTGTTATTGTCTTGATCAGAATTCTTAGGTCTTTCAAAGGTGTTTTTTTTACAGTGTTGTTGTCCTTGGATAAGTTGTCCTCCCAGTTATGCTCACTTCACTCTATATTAGTTCATATTTCCCAAGATTCTCTAAAATCATCTCTTTTGTGATTTATTATGTTATCTTCCCATTACATCTGTATGTCACAATTTGTTCAATCATTCCTCAACTTCTCTTCTCTCCTCTCCTTTCTTTTTTCTTGAAATATAGTATCCACTCTTCCTTCTCCCCTCTCCTTTTAACAGTATTCAGGGAGTCTGATAATTCTCTGATTATCTGTCTTTGACCTGTTTTACAGGTTAGCTGTTTATATTAGCAAGTATATTGCATTTTCTTTTATCTTGATTTTGTTCTAATATTTCTTGCTGTTTCATGGAGTCATTGATATCTGTTTTGTACATTCTGATTTTCAAAGAGTCTGTTACTTGGGTAATATTTACCACTTTCTATTCAAAACTATTTATTCTACTTCTGAGTCTTTCCTTCAGAACTTTTCTTTCTTACTTTTTAGAATCTCTTTTCTTCTAGGTATTCATTTAATCCCTGTGGAAAATTCATTTTTTTCTTTTTAGTCTTATAATTGTTACAGAATTACTAACTCCTTTTTTTAGGTTTCTGGATTTGTAGTCATTTTTAATATTGATTGGTGTCTTTTTGCTTTACTCATCTCTCTATCTTTAGTTTCCAAATTAGGGATTTGTGCCAAGGCCAGGCTTTGTCCCCTGCTATGATTTTGGGTAGGGTAGTGCCCCCTTTTTATTCTCACCTGTGCACTGACCTCTACTTTCTAAAGTTAATCTTAGGATCTTTGAGCTTCAGAAACTGAATCTTCAGGGTCCTTTCTATGAAGCCTGAGGACAGAGTGTTAGGGCCTGGAGTGTCCCATCTGAACCCTGTCCCTCCCATGGCTTTTAAGGTTCCTGCTATGAGTTTCTAACCACCTTGGAGTTCTGTCAGAGGAGCTTTCTGCTCTACCTGTGTCCAAAAACAGAGCCTCATAAGCTACATGCATCTCCAGCCAGTTTCTGGTCAGACTGGGAAACTATCATCTTCTTTACCTGCTCTGGTTCTGGCTTTACTGGGCCTAGTTTCTTACTGTCCATGGGCTCTTTTCTGACTTTCTGTGCATTTCTGGGGTTAGAGATGTCACTTACTGGATTTCTCGATCATTATTCTGTCTGATGCAATTTTTAGGTTTTTTTGTGTTTTTTTTTTCTGGCATAGGTACATAGGAGTTATTCAGCCTCCCTTCATTCAGGCATCTGAATGCCTGGGTATGAAGGAAGCTTCTGTTTCCAAGGCATGGATTCTTTTCTTGACAATGACTTTCTCTGATTTTTATGCAGTAAAAACCTGCTTTTGTTCCATTATGTCCTTCATCATCTGTATTTGTGTATCATGTAATGAAATAAGTATAGTTTTTATAATAGAAATTTACATATATGTGGCCTTCTTTTCACCAGCACTACCACCACCACCACCTCCTGAATTCTACCCTGCTTTCAGCAAGGTGGTTAACATTCTCAACTGTGATATCATGATATACCTTCTTACAACCATACTGCGTAGAGCAGTGGAATTGGATAGTCACTTATGGACTGAAGCTATGATCCAGATGGTATGTATAATGGCAATATATATTCATAAAAAAAGTTCCCTAGTCCAGCTGTCTGCTTTCACTTAAGACTGCGATGAAATTATCCTTCAGTTGGTTATCTAACCTATTCTTAAAGACCCCATAGGAGATTCTACAATTTCCCCTAGTAGCACATTCTCATGTTTAACAATTTCTACTCAGTTCCTTTTACTTATCACCTCCTTAATATAGAATAAATAATATTGATCTTTAAATTCAAGGACCTGTGTTCAAATCCCAGGTCTCTCCTCACTAGCTGTGTGTTGACTATGAGAAAGACATTTTACCACTGAGCTTCATTATCCTCATCCATAAAATGTATACAGTAACAATAATAATGGATACAATAATAACAAAGCACAGAAAGTGCTTTGTAAAATTTAAAGTGTTATCTAAATATGAGTTGTTTTGACTTCTGTTGTACAAAGTGCTTTTTTATTTTTCCTAAGAATTTCTGCTCATCTTCAGAGGTGTGAATAGTGTGTTTTTGACTTCTTTAAATCCCTCTTATATTTAAAAATTATTGTAGACTATATAACTCTCTGGTTATAACAAAAACTAGAAAGATAAATAATCAAGTAAACAAAAATAAAGAAGAAAAATCTTACACAAACCCTTATCCTTTAACAATGTAGAACTGAACAGATAAGCAAAAAATAGACAAGAATTGCCTTCTCTGTGTTTCTTTTTAAGTCTGTTTGAAGTCTTACAACTTTTGGTTTTGTTTTATTGTGGTCAGTGTGTTTATACTTCTGGTTTTTCTTATGCCACTTTGTTTTTCCGTGTATGAGTCTTTCCATATTTCCTTGTATTTATATTTCTTTATTGTTATTTTTTTTTCTGAATCCTCCTTAAGTTTTGAGAAATTTAACCAAAGTCATTCATTTCCAAAGTCTTCCTTACACATCTTTCTTGTTCCATTAGGCATTTCATCTTCTTGCTCTGGGTCTGCTTGAAGAGAAACAACAGCTCGAAAGAGCTCCTGAAGAAGAAGTGACATTTGACTTTTACTATAAGGCTTCACGTATGTCTGATTATGATTTTTCAATCAAATTCTGATTTGTAAGTGAAATTTTAGGTTTGTAATCCTCAAGACTCAGCCTTCTTTACTTGAGATGTCTCTAGCATCGTTAGTGCTTGCTTAATAATTTCTACTAGTAGGAATCCGTCTTTGGGTACAATCAGAGGAGTAACTAGCCCTAACTGCACCTGAGGCAAATGCATTTGAGTAAGTGGGAGGCAAAGGGATGTGGTGTGTGGCAGCGTCAGTACAGAATACTTTCTGACTACAGTTGTGCTTGGTTACTTGGCTGTAGACCTCAGCGACGTTAGACAAATGTGGTTCAAGAGAAGAACACCACAGTGATGGCACTTGAGGGTGGTGACTCAGGGGTACTATACGATGCTGATTATTACAAGTGTGGAAGACAGCAGTCATCAGGGGAAGAAAAAGTAGTACAGTTCTTCCTGCTCCAATCAGAAGAAGTACAGTTCATCTCTACTTCTAGATGTTTGCACCTTTGTGCAATGACCCATTGAGCCCTTGTTCAACAGTAAGAGCTGTGCATCTCATTGCTTGTCACCACTTTTTGGCAGAACATATCAGCTGTTCCCTCTGCTCACTTATTTCAGGACTTACAAATTGCTATTTACAGACTCATCTTTCTAGTTGGTATTCCATTATCAATACAGTAGGAGGAGATCCTAGTCTCGAGAAGATTACCATTTGTAAGATATTTGCAAAGGGTCTCCCTGAAGTCTTATTTTAATGCCTCTTTACGATATTCAGGTAACCCTAGGTAACCAATGGCTCATTCTATAATGCTGAAAAGGCTTCTGGTATAGGCCCAGCAATGGGGCATAGATCTGTTGTCCAAGAACCAGACTACCTAAATTTGACTAGAGTGACTAAAGAGTGTTTATAGTCTTTCAGCCATCACCACTTAGAAACACTTGTGAGAAAGACACAATGGAGCTACAGTCTGTGTCAGTAGAGGAACTACCCACACTGACAAAATCACAAAACCTTGTAGTAGAAGTTCAGAGGGCATTCGTGTGCTTGAATGAAACTTCAAATATCTCTGAAGTAACAGTGAATAAATATTTTTTTAACTGTGATTTGGAGTAAAAATATGTAGGTCTAATTTATAACATTATAATAACTAATTTATAATACTGTGAAAGTTTTAGATTCATAATCTGGATACATTTCCTTTTTTCTAGTTTTTTCAAGCCACTGAAACACATTTTCTGGAAAGGTTATAGGACTTTGTTTATGTTGAAGACCAGGAAAAAGAGTCTGATTCTTTTATTGGGCCATTACTCATCAACCAATAACCAGTGGATGGAGTAAAGCAAAGCATCTCCTATACTAAAATTTCATAATGAATTTTTGATTACTTAGGAAAATAACATAATTATTTATGTATATAATCTCTCCTGCTTTTTTTATATTTTATTCTTTATTATCCCCTCCAGTAAAGAGTGAATAAAAGAAGGGAAAACGTGTATTTTTACCTATCAATCAGTTTTACTACATCTTAACTTTGTTAAAAGATTTGGTAGGGGAAAAATTGAAGTCTTTAAGTAATAAGGATTTTTCATAATAATTGCCAATAATTATAATTATAAAACTGAATTCATACACTTTGTATATTTTATTGTGAAGGTGTTGTAAAATGTGCTTAATTTGTACAATTCTACTTTTACTCCCTGAAAAAGGGTTGGCAAGTTCATCTGGAAATTTTCAGAATATACAAACACTTTTGGAAAAACTGAAAGGAGTTCCCCAGTTGGAAGCTCAAAAGGACATGATAATTTGGATACTACAGGTAGATAAGAAAAATAAAATAATTGTATCTTGAATGATACAGAAACAAAACAAGTATATATTGTTTTAGTTTTATTCTATCCCTAGTTTTTTATTATTTTTCTACCTTTGCATTGCTTTTCTTTGCCCTCCAGAACTAAACAGCCTCCTCTGATGATAATGAATTTAGCTATTTTCTACTTCATTATCATTTATCTCTCTTGTTAAGAGTATTCTCACTTTTGCTCATGTTTGTGTTTTTAAAAAATACATCTACACTAAAAAGGATCTTTTTAGCGTTCATTGCATTGTTAGAACAGAACATAATAGAATGAATTTTGTCTCAAGATAGGAAATTTTCAAATATAAATCACTATTAAAAATTAAACCACAATCCATCTAGGTGTCACAGTAGATAGAGCACCAGGCCTGGAGTCAGGAAGGCCTGACATCAAATCTAGCTCTCATATTAGCTGTGTGACCTTGGGCAAATCACTTAACCTTATTTGCTTCAGTTCCTCATCTTTCAAATGAGCTGGAGAAGGAAATGGCAAATCCCTCCAGTATCTTTGCCAAGAAAACCCCAAATGGGGTCACAAAGAGTCAGACACAACTGAAACACCTGAACAACAACATCAATAATAATATTTAGAATTTGAGCAAATATCTCATTTCCTTGCATTTCTTTTTAGAAAGGTTACACTTGTTCAGTTGTTCAGTCATGTCTAATTCTTCATGACCCTGTGAACCATATAGTCCATGGAGTTTTCTCTTAGTAAAGATACTAAAGTGGTTTGCCATTTCCTTCTCCAGTGGATTAAGGCAAACAGAGGTTAAGTAACTTGCCCAAGGTCAGACAGCTAGTAAGTGTCTAGGGGCAGTATCTGAACTTAGATCTTCCTGACTCCAGTCCCAGCTCTCTATCCACTGAGTCATCTAGCTGCCCTTAGGCTATATTTAGGACTGTTACAACCGGGATTTCTCTATTTGAGTTGGCTCAGTGTAAGCAATGACTATTTAAAGTGTTTTCAAAACACTTTTCCCAACTGCTTTGCAGAGGAGGTCCATGGGCATGTTATATAGCATATATTTCCATGTTTTTTCAGTTTATTAATTGGTGTAGCTAATTTTTTTCTTTCTTAAAAAATTCTTTATTTTAGAATATGTCTGTCAGGTGGGGAAAGGAAGGAGGGAAGGAAAGATACTTGGAGAAATTTAACTGATACGAAACCAAAGGATTTCAATAACAGTTTCAAGAAAGAAAGTGCTTCAAAATTTCATAAAATTTCATATTTACATAAGATTATCTCTGACAACTGATTAGGAAAGCTGAAAGCTAAAATAGAAAACTTATTTGCCTTTATGGGAAAAAAAAACCATTTAAATTAATGCTATAAGTGGGGCCATGTCCACAAGAGAGGATAAGATAATTTACCTTGTTTATTTATGCCAACCATTAATATTTAATTCTTTCTTCATAGATGTTTGACACAGTGAAACAATTGAGGGAAAAATCTAGTTTATCGGTAGTAACTGTATCGGGATCAGAACATATCAAGAGTGATGAGGTAATAAAAGCAAGACAATGTAGGTCTTTCCGCCATAATCTCAATTAGTTTCTCTCCTGACCTTGAACATTATGGATATTTTATAGTGTTTATTATTAAGGGATCTTGCTACAGTTATAAATGAAGATGGTGACTTATTTTTTCCTATTCTTTTCTTATTTCTTCTGTTATTCTATTATGCCTTGGAGATCTAAGAGTACTTGGGAAAGTTATTCAAATTTTTGTCATAAGAATCAGAAAAATTTGAAGCAAGATCTATATCCCAGTAATATTTACTGAGGTTGTCTAGGTCTATTGTGTACTAGGTCTGATGAATTAAATTTGTGGATCTTATGTTTTGACTCAGTGGGTTGACAGTGATATTGATGTTTCTAAAGCTGTTACCAAGGAAGGTGATGTTCTGTTAATCAGTATAAAAAGAACTGTGTTCAGACAAGACTAGTAAATAGAGAAGTGCCAAAGAATCCTAAGTAATCTTGTGAATTTCCTTTCTTAAAAAATCTCCATCGCTTTCAAAGTAAGAACTTTAAAATATTTTCTATTTAGATTTCATCTTTTGATTAAAAAGTTCTTTGAATTGATGTTGCCCTTTAATTACACAATTGAGGTAAAGGCTCATCAGTTTAAAAACAATGTAAGTTACCAAAGGGAGAAAACTTGCTCCAATAGAATCCCTCCAATACACTAGAAATAGAAAAAATGGAACGAGCACTTTGCCTTACAGATTAAGGGAGTTCACTTTTGATAGTGTGATCTGAACTGTAACAGGTACTTAACTCTGTGATAACAAGTTTCATCTGTATTCTCTGTTATTGTTTTTCTTTAAATTCAGACTGTGCAGGATAAAGAAAAGGCAGAACGCAAGAGAAAGGCAGAAGCTGCTAGGCTGCATCGCCAGAAGATCATGGCACAGATGTCAGCCTTACAGAGGAATTTCATTGAAACTCACAAATTATTATATGAGAATACCTTAGAGCTACAAGGGAAAGAAAATTCCATTGTAGAGGAAGAGAGGTAAGAAATGGTATTAACTCTGTACTTTGATAGGAAAAATTAAATGCTTTCCAAAATATATTTCCTAACATACACAATGAAATTGATGGATGCCAGAAGAGATTTTAATCTGCATATTGAATATGGTCTTACCAAAGCATCAACACACCCTGTCTATAAAGAAATATACTTATTTTTAAAACTGTTCTACCACCTAAATTCAGTTAAGTCTTTGGACAGGAACTGCCTAATAATTTCTGTGGTTTTAAAAAAAAGACAAATAATGTCTTAAAGTTTACGTAACTAGAAGTGATCATTCTTAATCTTAAGTCTTATGTTTGGAGGTTTTTTTTTTCCTTCATGAGCATTTGCTTACTGTCTACAAATTCTGCTTCGTCTCTACGTGAAGAATACTGGCATTTAGTTCATACACTGAATAACAAGTATTGACTGGGGATCATAGTAGCCACAGTAACAAATGCAGGAAACTAGGAGGCATACAAATAAAAATACAAAAACACTAGTAACAGAAACATAGACAAATTATATATTGGAAAAGTGACATTGGTCAAAAGGTGAGAGGGACAGTGATTGGCAAGTAAAAATTGTAGTCATTCATCAGCCAGGCAGTCAAGAATCAATCAAGAAACACTTATTAAGTTTCTGCTATGTGCTAATCTTTGTATTGGGGATAGAGAAAGGCAAAAACGGTCTTTGCTCTTAAGAATCTTATATTCTAATGAGGGGTATGTAAATGATGCAATGTACATATGTGAATCTAAAATAGGTATTTACAGCATACATACAGAGTAAATATAAGGTCACCTGGAAGGGGTGGCTAGGAAAAGTTTCCTGCAAAAGTTGGGTTTTGAGCTGAATCTTGAAGGAAGCCAGGAATTCTCAGAGGAAGACTCGAGGAGGGAGAACATTTTAGGTTTGGGGATCAGTCAGTGCTAAGTCAAAGAGACAAGAGATGGAGCATTATGTGAGAGGAACAGCAAGTAGGCCAGTACAGCTGGATCACAGAATGCTTGGCTGGGGGTTGGAGGTGGGGCTATAAATAAAGTATATAAAGACTGGAAAGATAGAAAAGGCCCAGGTTTTGAGGAATTTCATATGCCAAACAAAGGACTTTATATTTGATCCTGGAGGTCAGAAGGAGTCACTGGAGTATTGAATATGAGGGTGACATAATCAGACCTAATCTGATCACTTTGCTTGCTTACTGTTTGTCCTTCATTCTCGAAGAAGATCATGACATCAGGGAAGTGATGCCATGACATGCAAGTGAATCGGAATTAAGTGAGGGAGAACTATGCAAAGTCACCAGCCTCACTTTCTCTTCTGGAGCCATTTTGATCCTGTGGCCGGATATAGATCAGGACAACTAGAGATGGCCCAGGTTGCAGTGGGAGACCTTGACCTTCTAAAGCTAAGGTCTTTAACAGGTCTCAGCTTGACTGAGGCAATGCCCATTCAGTGATTGAGACTTAATAAGAATTGAGGCAGAAAATGGCCTCTTCATCTAGCAAATAAATAAATAAATAAATATGCTTTAGTGTTTTACTTTAGTAGCTGAATAGAAGATCATCTTCGTTAGGTAGAGAGCGAGTTAGAGAAACCAATTAGAAAGCTATTGCAACAGTCTGTGAAGTTTGAATTCAATCAAAGGGCTGCACTTGAGGACCTAGAAGGCCACATGGGGCTTCGTGGCTGCAGGTTCTCCACCCCTGATAGTTCAACTTCCCCATTTTACAGATTAGAGAGTAAGTCCCAGATTGGCTAAGGGTGTTTGTCCAAGGCTATACATGTAGTATGTGTAGAGCAGAAATTCATACTTAGATCAGTTTGTTTGGGATTCTATGATTCTTGTGTTATTAACTGAAATTCAAGTAAACATTTTTTATCTCTATTCATTTCATTTGGTAGTGAGCCTATGGCCATTGACTACTCTAGAATTGCATTGGGACCTAAACGTGGTCCTTCTCTTAGTGAAAAGGAAATGCTGACCTGTATTCTATGTCAAGAGGAGCAAGAAGTAAGATTAGAAAATACTGCCATGGTTTTATCAGCCTGTGTCCAGAAATCTAGTGCTTTAACACAGCAGAGGGGAAGGCCTCAGGAACTCTCAGGGGGTATGTATATTCTAAATCCTTCTGGGTTATACTTGTTTTTGTGTTCTCTCTGTCTGTCTATCTCTCTTTTTTTTCTCTCTTTCCCTCTCTCTCCCTCCACCCCCCCCATCTCTGTATGTTAGAACATGCTGTTTGGAGAGAAATGGTTATACTGTTTTTGTATTCTCTCTATCTGTCTGTCTCTCTCTTTTTCTCTCTTTCTCTCTCCCCCCCACCCCATGTTAGAACATGCTGTTTGGAGAGAAATTGGAAATTGAGGCTTTGCTTTCATTATCATTTGGACAAATTGCTTAACTACTATCAGCCATGATTTATCCATCTGTAAGGTTTGGTTTTTTTATATGTCATCTAAACTGCCTTTACTTAAAAAGTACTCTGAAGTAGAAAAAGGCTATTTTAATTTGAAGTTCCTTCAAAAGGGTGGTAATCTTCACAATATTAATATATTTGGGCATTATCTAATCATTAAGAAGTTACTTCTCATATTGAGCTGAAATTCGTCTCCCTATAATTTCAACCCATTGGTCCTTGTGACCTCTGGGAAATAAATCTAAAAATCTTTACCGTATGACATCCCTTCACATATTTGGATATAGCAATTATGTGCCCCTGAGTCCTCTCTGGTCCAAGATAGACATGATCAGTGCCTTTAGTTAATTCTTTTATTATCTTAGTCACTCAGCACTGGAAGAACTTTAGCTTATCAATATCCTTAAATTTTGGTGTCAAAATTTAGCACAATATTGCAGATTTAGTATGATCAGAAGTTAGTTTTTTTGGGACTTAACAGCTTTTGCCTCTCTCTCCTTTCTTATAAAGAAAACAAGCAATTAAGGGGAAAGACTGCGTTTGTGAAATCATGTTGTCATTTGCTTTTCAGATTTTTGTATCTAAACTTTACTTTTGTTAAGGCAATTTCCCAAACTTTCTCCGTTCATGGCACCTCATGTCTGAGTAATGTTTTTACAGCACCCGTAGGCCAAAAGAAATACCTAACAGTTCTGTTTATTAAGTGGTTAGGTCCAAACAACTTAATAAGTATTTATATCCTAACAACTTAGCTGTTTGGAAAAATACTACACATAAATTGAAAGAATGTTTTTTTTGCATTTTTATTGCATTCTTAAATAACCACAGCTGCTTACTAATGGAATTTATATGCCTGTTGGAAACTGCACAACTTCTTAAACCTCAGATTAGGACACTGCCACTATCATTTTCCTGTTCCACATTTATTTTCACATAGTACTTGCCTCACGGCAACTGCCAAAACTCAACTTTGCCGAAATATAAACCTCACAGATGAGTAAGTTCAAGAAGCTACTAGTGTAGCCAAAAGTACAAGTAAAAAAACCCAAAAACCAAAAACCAAACTCACGTTTCTCAAACATTTGAGAACATTGTTGAAAGAACTGAAAATAATATAACATGATATAATGTTGAAACTATGAACTACCTTGAGCTAGTAGATCTCACACTGTCTGACAGATGTTGAATATCTGTTTCCTTCAGAAATTAAAAATATCCTGGTTAACCTCTGTGAGTTTACCTCAAGTATGTCTAGGGTACTATAGGTAATTCATATAACATTAATATTTCCATTATCTTCCTGTAGTAAACAACAGAAGACCCCTCTGACACCCTACTTCAGTATGTGACTTCATCTTAAATATTAGTCTTTCGTAGATCAGTTGTACTATCTTCATTAAACCAAAAGACATTTTTTACCTCTACCAAGTTGACAAAAATTTGGGCTTATAATTAAATGATTTGCTCTAACGCCCCCATTTCTTTGTCCAGTGGTGTTCTGAGAGAATGGGAGCATGCAAAGCAATACTGTTTGCCAAGCATTGTGAGCTCTCATGTATGCATGACGTGAATCCCAGGGCCATCCTATGGGTACTCCCTCTAGGGCTATTGAGAGAAGAGATCTTACTACCTTAAAGTAGCCTTTTGCTTTTGTGTTTTCAAGATATCAAATGTCAGTGTTGTAGATGGCTGAGCTAATCTTATTGAATTACAGAAAAAGCTCTCTAGAAGACCACGTATTTTTAAGTATTCCTACATCAAAATAAACTAAAAAACCAAAGCTATAAATTGGGAGATTAATTCACTCGTAGAATTATATTTTGCAAGTTGAATCATATTTATATTTTGTAGAACTGTATTTTGTGGGCCATGTTTATATTTTATCCCTTTACTATGTTATGAAGATATATCTAGGAAGGAGGAAGAATCATTATTTTACTCCTGCTAGGGAATTCATAAGGTTGTTGACAATGGGATTGGAATAGAGACTGGACCTATGATTTTATTGGTCTAAGGACCTCTCAGATGAGAAAACCTTCTACCAATGCAAACTGGCACCTTCTCTGCAACTTAATAGTCTTAGAAAGCTGCCAGAAGACTGAAAGGTTAGGTGACTTACCCAGTGTCACAGCCAGTCTGTATCAGAAGCAGGACTTAAATCCAGCCTGGCATATAGTAGGCACTTAATAAATATTTATTGATAGATTCAAGGCTACCTCTTTACCCATGTTTTATGTACTGTCTTATAATGGCAGCTAGGTGTGAGCCTGGAGTCAGAAATATATGAGTTCAAATCCAGCCTCAGGTACTTACTAGCTGTTTGATCCTTGGCAAATCACTTAAGCCCTGTCTGCCTCAGTTTCCTCAACTGCAAAATGGGGATAATAACAGCAGTTACCTCCTAGGATTGTTGTTGAGGATCAGATGAGGTAATATTTGTAAAAAAAAAAAAGTGCTCAGGACAGTTCCTAGCACATAGTAAGTGCTATATAAATACTTATAATGAGACTATTTTACTAGATAATATTTGTTTCTCATGATGGGAAAAATTGCTTCATAGCCTTAATTTATGTCTTCTTCTACTAGAAACACAAGATCCACTCTTCATGGATCCTAACCTGACATGTGGAACCCACACTGGCAGCTGTGGCCATGTCATGCATGCAGTCTGCTGGCGGAAGTAAGTCCTTTCTGTTTTTGTTTCAGTCATTTCTTCAAAGAAACAAATTGAATTAAACTTAATGTTTGTTTGTTGTCCCAAACATTACGTTTTCTTGTATCTCTTCTTCCCCAACCATACTTCCTTCTCTTTTCTTCCATCACCTTCCTTTACCCTTTTTAAACTTATTTCTTGTCATTCCCAAGCTCTTTTCCCTCTGTGGTCCTTAGGAAACAACCATGTCCATGTCTGATGAGGATAAGGTGGGAGCAGTAAACATGGAAGTGATAAAGGAATAGGTGTTAAGATTTCAGAGAACAAAAATAAGCAAATCTTTGGCATGGGAGTTAGGTTATATGATATATATATACATATATATATATATATATATATATATATATATATATATATATATATATTATAAATACTCATAATTATATATAGTTGGTCTTGGAGTCACGAAGACCCAGGGGTAAGTCAGTACTCCTAACAAGACTCGAAAAATAGTACTTACAGAGAGGTTGCTGATCTACATAGGTAGAGGGAGTTTTTGTACTGTGAGTTCCCTGAATGGATGAAATCACAAGTATAGACCAAAAACATTTTTTTTAAACACATGAACGTGCACATGTGCACATACATACATGCACATGCACACACAGAGATTTACTCTAAATATATAGTATATTTTTAATTATTTTTATTATGCCCCTTATTAGGTATGAGTAGTATAGTGGATTTTGGGTTGGCCCTTGAGTCAGGAAGATCTAGGATCAAGACCTGCCTTCAGGGTATCTTCGATGGGCAGGTCACTTGACCTCCCAGTAGCCTGGGTCACTCTCCAAGACTATATGCAAAGGCGTTAACAGTCTGCTGCATTGGAGAGGATTTTTCCATACATTGATAAAATCAGTTTTGGACAACAAAGTGTGTGTGTGTGTGTGTGTGTGTGTGTGTGTGTGTGTGTGTGTACGTGTGTACATAAATTGCAAAATTATAAACATAACCAGGCTATGTAACAAATGTATATTCAATTAAATTATCATGTCTTCAAATGGCTTAATACTTTAGCATAGTTTGTTTTTATTTCTAGTCTTGGCAGTTTTAATCACTGTTACTATTTATGTTATATAATGATCAACTTTGAGAGTAGCTTCTGGAAGATCACTTGCTTATGATTTTCAATACTTCCTCTACTGACATTGAAAGGAAACAGAAATTTACATCAATAGCCACAAATAATTATAGAACTACCCCTGAGAAAAGTATTCCAAAGACAGAAAAATGGGATGGAAGGAACCAAATTTCATCTTTTTTGGGAAAGGAGAAATCCTAAGAAATTTTATTTCTCAAATTTGTCTTAGGCAAAGCTTTTTTAACCTGATCAAAATTTGTAGGTTTAGCCTTTTGTAGCTGATCAGTTTATTCTGATGATCAGAAAGTAAAGGGAATAATAGTCTTTTTATTATGTATCTACCTTCCAGTTAGGTAGGACAAGCACTACAATAAAGCTTCAGGCCTTTTAAATTTTTACTGCCAGTTTCCCCTAGGCGAGAAAGCCAATTTACTTCTGTTATAATGGGTCAGTCCTTTGTATTTGCATTCTTCAGATATATTGTGAAGGAAGCAACTTTATTTTTATTTTTAATATTTTTTGGCAAGGCATTTGGAGTTAAGTGACTTGCCCAGGGTCACACAGCTAGTAAGTGTCAGGTGTCTGAGGCCAAATTTGGACTCAAGTCCTCCTGACTCCAGGGCCAGTGCTCTATCCACTGCACCACCTTGCTGCCCTCAAGAAGCAATTTTTAGAAGCACACAAGCAATTATTAGTAAAATGTCTAGGAAAAAAACCAACTGTTTTTATGTGAATAACTGTGAATACTAGACATGTGGAAATACCTTGAGAAAATTTATTATCTCTAGCATACCCCTAGCTTTTTTATGATACATCATATTTTATGATTATCAAATTTTAGGTATTTGCACAATGTTAAACTAATTCATTTCTTTTGGAATTTTGTAGATACTTTGAAGCTATACAGATTAATTCTCGTCAGCGCCTTCATGTTGAGTTTTTTGACTTGGAGAATGGAGAATATCTTTGTCCTCTTTGCAAATCTTTGTGCAATACTGTGATCCCCATTGTTCCTTCACAGATACAAAATATAAACAGGTATATTTTGTTTGTGTACTTAGTCTTATTTCTAAAAAATTGGTCTCTATTACCTCTTAGTGATCTGCATCTTATTTTGAGACTACATGTCAGTTTTTCACTAATCAAAAAGTAATTACAGGTTTTTGCCCCTTGATTTTTAATGTTTACTGCAATACTTGACTATTAGATCTATCAGTGTGAGTAATTATTAACACTTGTAATTAGTAACTAACACTAGTAATAACCAGTAGAGATTGTAACCCATTCATGCCTAATAATAATAGTAGTAATAATAGAAATGTATTTAGCACTTTAAAGTTTGCAAAATACTCTATATACATTCTCTCACATACATCCCCTACAATAATGCTGAGGTGAATACCACGGATATGATTAGCTCCAGTTTACTGATGATGAAACCAAACCTGGGAGACATGCTCAGATGTGTCACACAGGAATAGGAGGTAGGATTCGAGCCCAGGTCTTCCCGATTTCCAGGTTCAGCACTCTATCTACTGTGGTTCACTGCCTGTCATGCAAATAAGAACAACTCTTGTTATATTGGCCTGACAGGGAGGTGATGGACTGAGGGTGCAAAATGAGATATTTTTTTGGACGTGGCCAGTGCAGGAATTCATTTTGCTTGACTATGCATATTTGTGACAGAAACTTTGTTTTTGTTTTCTTTTTTCCCCCAGTGGTGGAGGAAGGTAAGAATAAGCATAGATAGGTTTTTATTAATTGAAAAAAAATGTTTAAAAGCCACTCTTTTGTGTCTTTAAGAACTAGGATATAATCCCAAGTTCTTATTTTGTATTGATCTGTCATTAGCTATTCAGTGTGATTACTCTCATTTGTCTCTTAGTATCACAGAGAAAACCCATAATAAAAACTGACTAATCTTTGTTAGATATCCCATAACTTACCATTGCTATTGTGAGCCATTTAAAACTTTTAAAAAATATTTATAGTTAATAGTCCCTCTATTCCTTTGGAATCTCCTACCCCCTTGGGTGTGAGTGTGGGTGAATCTTAATCCTTCATTTAGAGACAGATCAGATCTTGTTCTGTCAGTCCTTATGTGTTTTTATTCTCATTTCATTTTAGGAACTTCTTATCTGGAAAAAAAATTTCAGTTTATCATCTAGTTTTTTAAGAACTGCCCATGGTTCCTCATATTATTCTTTTATTTATTATTGAGTATCAGTTTCTCTTTAGTAGGATAGTGGTGTTCAAATCTAACATCCCATGGTCTGACACTTAAGGTAGTTTTTTCCATGTTCCATATATATAGGCCATCTTTGTAGGTCATAGATGTTATAGCTACTTAGAGAAACTTGATCTCTTATATTTCTTTAAGAGAAGACTCCACGTCTAGAACACAATCATGAGTGATAACCCTATATTTTTAGTAATTTTTTCATTTTATTTTTTCAGTGAGAATGCAGAAGCTGTTGCTCAACTTTTATCCATGCCACGGTGGATAGAAACTGTCATGGCCCGAATATCAGGTTACAGTATGAAAAATGCTAAAGGTTTGACTTATGTCTTATTTTCAGATAAACTCCATGAGAAACTAATTGTCAACAACTTAATTATGAAATTTATTGTCTGAAAAAGTGGATGAATTCCCTAACTACTTTTTCAGATGTGATTTTCAAGGGCAGATGTGTTAGGTTTTACAAAATGCAGGCAATGTGAATGAAAGCTTAATTGAAATCTAGTAGATTAAGTCACTTGGAAGATCAACTTTGATCCTTTTTGTAATAAGAAACTTCATTTTGGTTTCTACCATATGTATTCTGTAGTTTTCAAAGACCAATCAATATATGAAGTGCATTTACAAAAAATTAAAAGAAACATTTTAGCTAATTCTATAAAAGAAAGCTTTTCCTTCGTTTCTAGTCTCTAAAGAGGAAGATTGAATTAGTGGAATAGATCAATATTTTAAATCACAACTTTGAACCATAACATTACCTTAACTCTATTCTCAAGACTCCTGGAATTCCTTTAGATTTTCCTACTTTGGTCTCCTTGAATATTATATGTAGGTGTTTTTCCTAGATTTAATTAAATCTTAAATAAGATGTATTCAGTTAATTTCCTAAAAAATTTACCTTGAAAGAATGTTTTCTAACAGCTAAGGAAACTATAAACTTGATAGGTATATTTTTCATCTATATGTTTAATTCAGCAGGTGTTTATTGTTGACTCCATTGTGCTCAAGACTACTATTAAGAAAACAGAAAAAAAATTACATGACATGATTCTTTTGAAGATATTTGATTTATATGCCACTAATTAAAATAACAGTACTATATGTAATGTAGTCAAATGCAAGATTAGACAAATGTTATAGGATTTCAGAGAAAAGATCTTGGTTAGTTTTGGCATTCAGGAAAGATTTCACAAAATAACTAAGATTTCCTTTGGGCTTTCAGCAATTGGTAGGCTTTGGATAGGTAGTGGTGGAGAAGATGTTTTAGGACAATGAATGCCAGAATGGAGAGTTTAGGCTTGATTCTATAGTCAGTGGGGAGTCATTAAATTTTTATGAGAAATGGGCTGGAAGGATGATTGTGGTATTTTAAAGCTTAATTTGATGGTTTGAGAGGATGGATTGGAGACAAACTAGAAGCAAAAATACTTGTTTGGTTACTAGTATAATCTAAACATGAAGTTATGCAGTCCAGGACAAGGATTGTAGTGGTAAAGTACTGGACACAATTTATGTAGTCCTTAGTTACTTACCAGTTAATTAGTGTAACTAAATTAAATCAAAGAGAGATTATTAAGGACTGATCAGATATCCGGGAATGAGCCCAAAATAATGCTAAAACCCTTAGAATGAATGATGACACAAATGGTCAAGTTGGTAGGGGGAGTCAATTTGAGGCAGAAGAAGATGAATTCAGTTTTGGTTGTGTTAAGTTTGAGTGGGATGTATGTATTTGGAAATGCAGACCTGCCATACTAATAAGACGTCAGGACTAGAGATAAAGATTTGCAAGTCATCCAAATAGATATTTGAAAATATAAAAATGGGTGAACTCTTTGAAGAAGAAAGTATGGAGAGATAATAAATGGTTAAAAACTGAGCTCTAAGGAATGCCCACATTTAGAAAGTAAGAAGATGCAGAGAGGACAGGAGTAGTAAGATGTAGGCATAGAATCTGTCAAGAGTAGCATCAAGGAGAATTTGAGCTTCTTTTATTAAGAAGAGTTTTGAAAAGGTAGTCAGCAAATTTTGTAGACTTTGGTTTTAAAAAAGAAAATGAAGACAGAGAAAAAAGGCTATTGAATTTAGCAAAATTGAAACAATTGGTGACCTTTAAGAGAACAGTTGCTGTTAACAGAAATATTATCTTTGGAACCCACAAATCTATAATAGGCTCTTCTAGGCTAAGAATTGACATAGATCTAAACAGGAACTTCCATAGTATTGGGTCCCTAATGTTCATATATTGTTGTGAGTTATTTAACTATCCATGTAGAGAAAATTAAATGCACGAAGACTTCCTATTATTCTGACTGTGACGTGCAGTTACATTTACAGCATATAGACTAGCTCATTCATCAGTACCTGTATCTGATACAGTGGATGCAAATGGATAATGACCTGGACTTATCGTGCTAGATTGCCTTTTCAGAAATTATGAAGTTCTTTTAGTTACTCCCAAGCTTCTTGAAACAAAAATCCATTTAAAAAAAAATAACAGTATTGTTCTAAAGTTTAGACTCGCCCAAAGATCAGTATTCAAAAAAATATGGTTAGTCTTGGGGGAAGAAGGAGCCTTCTGCCATTGATACTTGATAAAAGAATTTTTCTATATTTCCTAACTGGCTTTTTAGCCATTGTCATTCTAGGCCTTGGCCCATTGAGAGCTCAACAGAAATATGACTACTTAATGATGACGTCAGCTCTTATATTTATTTTCTAGACATTCCTCTAACTGATATGTGGTGGTAATCTTTTGCCAATATTCTTCTTGACTACTATTTCATTAACTTTTGTATTTAGACCTAATACTCTTTCAGAAACATTTACCACCACTTACAGTGAATGTTATTTTTTTTTTACCAGCATGAAGCTAAAGATGTAAAAGAAAATTAACAATTAAAATTTGAGTAAACAAGATTGTTTCTAAGTAGATAAAAACCAACCTATGTACTGGAACAATTATCCTCTGAATAGTTTATACCAAAACTGAATTACATTTATCTGGTATCATGGTAATGTCCATGTTCCTGTTATGGATGACATGGTGAGAATTTCCCAGTCTATTTTGAAGAAATAGCTTATGCCTGCTTCACTGTAACAGAAATAGGAATCTATGCTTTAATCATGATTTTTCTCTATCCCTGTACTATGATTCCATTTGAGAGGCAGTTTTGTATATCAAATAGAGAGCTTCTTCAAGCTCTGAAGGTCTGTTTTCAAGCTCCATCTATGATATTTTAGTTGTATGAACATGACTCTCCACTTAAACCTCTGCGTGCCTCTGTGAACTAAGATTATAAATTGTAGGGCGTTTGCCAAACCTGTATTGGTAGAGAGAGGAGTTTCCTCAGTAGGCGTTCTGTATATTGATGAAATTAGAGGTTCAGACAAAAAAGTAAAGATTTCATTTATTCTTTAATATTTCAATAAAGAAAATTCACATGTGCTAACAGCCATCAGGGACTTTAGGTAGGGAAAGACCAAGAAATTCCTAGGGAATACATTGGCAGTCTTTATTCTAATTAGCTCTTAAAGCTTGATAGCCCAGATACCTCTTAAATTTTTCTTTGATGATTTGTTATGCACTTGTGACTTTGGAAATGCCTAATTATTCCCTAATTTTCTTTTTTTAACTTATTGATTATTTTGTAATCTTAGCATTTTTGAAAGCAACATGAAAACTTTTCAGAAAATAATAGGTTGACATTTGGGAAAAAATGGAAGATGATTATAACATGTATTACAAAATCCCCTTAAGTGTTTGTTAGGCTAAGGAAATTAATTTATCTTTTTTTTTTCTCTTTCCTCATTTTAAGGGGAGAAGCCAAAAGTTTCAGTCTTGGTCAGTCAAGGAATGGGTGATACTACTTTAGAGTTTCATTCTATACTGAATTTTGGAATCCAGCCTTCGTAAGTGTTTCAATATCTATCAGACATTTTTCAGTATGAGCAAAATTGAAAGTTAATATTTGCCCTGTGAGAAATGCTATATAAATTTCTTTATCTTTTTTTTAAAACTACTTTCATCATAGAATATTAAACATAATAATAATAATGCTAGCAACTGACATGTATATAGTGCTTTGAGGTTTGCAAAGAACAAGATGTATGTATCTTGACCATGGTACCCTGTGAAGGTGGTGCTGTAGATATCATTGCCCCCATTTACAAATGAGGAAACTGAGGCTCAGATTTTACATGACTTGTGTAATGATCATACAAAATAAGTATCACATTTGAGCCCAGGCCTCTTGTAACTCTTAATACAGGCTTTTTCCCAATACACCTAGCTGCATCTCTTTCTGTTCACGTGGATAGTGTCAAGTGAGAAGCAATGTGGTACATTGAAATATGTGCTTGAATTTGGAATCAGAGAAGATACTTCAAGTTCTGGTGCTACAACTTACTTTTATGACTGTTGAAAGCTGCTTAACCTCCTTATGTTAAATTGAGGAGTTGAATGGGATAGCTTCTCAGGTCCTTTCTGGCTTCAAATCTATGATTCTATTAAGTGTTTCCTGATGCTCTCCTTAGAGTTTGGGTTAGTGGGTAGTACTTTAAGAGATGTCATAGAAGAATAACTGGACTAGGAAGCATGAAAGACTCATGAGTTCAAATTATAGCTCAGCCACTGATTCACTGTCACCTCAGACAAATCTCTTTGCCTTTGTAAACTTGTCTGCAAAATGGGGAGAATCAAACCTGCACCGTGTATTTCAGAAGCTAGTTGTGAGGGTAAAATGAAATAATGTATAGATAAATACTTTGAAAAGTATATTTTACATATATATATATATATATATATATATATATATATATATATATATATATATAGTATGTATAAATAGATATAGATATAGATATATGTAGATATATAATACAAATAAAAATTGATATCATATGGCTAGTTTCCAGGGTATGCTTTACCAGATCTCATTCTTTCTGATGCTTTTTATCCTATTCTTGTCCCAAATGTTCATTATCAATGAAAGTCCAAAGAACCAGAAACAGCTAACTTACATTAATATAGAATGTTACTATGCAAACATGTCAGCACTAATACTTACTGGTTACCTCTCCAGATCCAGATCTGAGCACATAATCTAAAATCTGCTTTCTCCTTTTCCTTCCAGTCTGACGGTCACATTGCAATTGGTTCTGTGTACAGGGTTGAATTCCTGGTGAATATGATGAACTGCTTACCCATTAAATGTTAACAAATGCTAGAATCATATTACCTTCTTCAACAATTTTTTTTTGTTAGAGGCAACATTGTAGTCTCCTATGTTAAATTTAGTACAGGTATCGCTACCTTTCCCATTTTCGTTTACTGAAGCAACTTTTAAAATAGTATATGTCTGTAATTTCACAAAGAAAAACAGACCCATATCATAAAAGGTTAGATTCCTTTCTGTTTTAGAGTCTCTTAACTTCCCTCAGTAGGCAATACTTTCATTAATTCACTAGCTAAACTTTTCTTTTTTTCTTTTCAGAGTCAAATTCTCTAGCAGCATAAAAGAGATGTTGGTTCTCTTTGCCACAACAATTTATAGGGTTGTACTGAAGGTGCCTCCTGATGAAACTGATCCTCGGATTCCTGCAATGACCTGGGGCACCTGTGCTTTCACCATCCAGTCTGTTGGTAAAGTATATAACGGAATTGATTGGTGGATTAATTAGAACAGGCTCTTTTCAAAACTTACCTTTTTTTTTTTTGGTGTGGTTTTTTTTTTCCTTGATTCTCTCTGATAATGCGGAAAGGAAAAATGTGTTCCTCTAGCCCTTGGATTTTTTTCCTCTAGGATGGAGACTAACTTGTACTTTGTACATTCATGAATCACATTCATGAATTACTATATAATGTACTATAGAAACACAAATATAGCATATCTGCAGCACACTGCAAAGTTCTCGTTGCTTTCTCTTCATGCTTTTGAAGGAATACCAACAGTATTTTCTCATCCTATGGTAGTTCTTCTATCTAACTCTTGTAGCTAACTACTATATCAAACTGCTTATTTACAAGATGCTTATCTAATGATCACATATCTCATTTCAACTTGCTCCTTTCAGTTAACTCTGAGCAGGTGATTATCAGCTCTATTTATCCAGCCCTAACATCTCTCTAAATCTCCAGTCTACTGACTCCAATTGCCTGTTGGACATCTTGATGTTCTATAGATGTCTTTAATTCATCATGTCCAAAAGAATTCATTATCTTTCCACCAAAACCCTCCTCTCTTCCTACTTTCCCCATTACTGTTAAGAATACCACTATCTTCCTAGTTACCCAAGCTCTCAGCCTAGATGTCATTCTCTACTCCTCACTCTGTCATTCTTTCATATCTAACATGTTGTGGGGTCCTGTTGATTCAACCTTTGCAACATCTCTTCTCTATGGCCGCTAATCACTTATAATATTGCCACACCCTAGTACAGGCCTTGTCACCTCTCACCCGGACACTAGTCCAGTAGAATTCTGGGTGGTCTTGCCTTGTCTCTCCCTACTTTAGTCCATCCTCCGCACAACTCTTAAAATGATCTTCCTAAAGCACAGGTTTGGCCTTATCACCCACTTATGCAATAAACTCCAGTGGCTCCTATCCCTATTACCTTCAAAATTAAATTTAAACTTTGTTTGGCATTCAAAACCTTTATAACCTGCCCCTCCCCTACTTATCCCTTTTGCCTGCCTCACCTCCCTCCACCATATATTCTTTGGTCCAGGGACCTTGGCCTTCTTGCTGTTCCTAGCACAAGACACTCCATCTCCTGACTTAGGCATTTTCACTGGCTGCCCCCCAAGCTTGGAGTGCTTTCCCTCCTCTTTGTATCCCCAGTCCTTGGCCCAGTGACTGGCACAGTATTGTTGACTCAACTTGTTACAGTTGTTTTTCAGATGCTCCCATTTACTTCTGTGGCCTCTAGACTCTCTGTTTTCCTTTGGGGGTAGAAGAGGGGCTTAATTTAGTCAGAAGATAGAAGTATACAAAGTACCTCATTTTTATTGGGTTTCTAGATTCTTTTCTCTTTTTTTCTGACTACAGGTCTTCATTTGAGCATAATACCTTGCATATAGTAAGTGTTAAGTAAATTTTGAATGGATGACTATCATTGTTAAATACATAAACTTTAACATTTTGAGAACTCCCAAACCTTTAACTGAATCCTTTGAAACCCATTCTGTAATATCTAGGCTGCATGTGAGTCTATGCTCAGCTTTCCTTTCCTTCTCATGTACTTCATACTCTATGATGGAGTAGTCACTTGCCCCCAAGGTTTCTATTGTTTTTCCTTCATCAACTCATTCCTTGTTAATGACTAGAATCAGATCCCAAAAAACAGTTCCTCTTGTTGGTTCCTTCCCCTTTTGATAGAAAAAATTATCATTCAGGCATGTTGTATTTTTAAGCTGCTTTGATTTTGGCAGAGAAAAAGCTTCAGCGTTGAAGCCCCTCATCACTACAATAAAATGCTCTTGTACCAGATTTATGATATATTTCCAACTTCTTATAACTGCTTCTTCTGTCATGGTTGGCTGTAATATAACTTCATAGCAATATTGTTTCTGTTTCTCCCTCCATTGAGATTAACCCAAGAGTTCTTTGCCGTCTCTTCCCCAACCTACCCCCCCCCCACCTCACAGGGTTCCTTGATTGGCTCATAAGCATCTCAAACTTAACATGTCCATAACAGAACTCATATCTTCCCCCTTAAATACACCCCTCTTCCATACTTTGCTATTACTGTCAAAGGTACCATCATCCTTCTAGTCACTCTGGTTCAGAACTTAGTATCATCTTTAACTGCTCACTGTCATTCCCCTGCAATGCTATTCAGTTGCTGTATCATGTTTCTGCCTCTAAAATATTTCTTAAAGAATTCTCCTCTTGGGGCAGCTAGGCGACACAGTGGATAGAGCACCAGCCCTGGAGTCAAGAGGACCTGAGTTCAAATTTGGCCGCAGACACATAATACTCACTAGCTGTGTGACTATGGGCAAGTCATGTAACCCCAACTGTCTCACCAAAAAAAAAAAAAGTCTCCTCTTTTACATTCATATAACCCCCACCCAAGTTTAGGTCTGCCTCAGCTCTAACCTGGACTTTTATGAGAGCCTCTTGTTTGGTCTCCCTGTCTTAAGCTTCTCCCCACTGCGATCCATCCTCCACACAACCACCGAGGAGATTTTCTTAAAATATGGGTTTCATCATGTCAACCCATCAGCTCATTAAATTACAGTAGTTCCCTATTGCTTCTAGGAACCCCTCTTTTTAAGTCTCTTCACAAGTTAGCCTTATCCTACCTTTCTAGTCTCCTTATATTTTACTTTCCTATTCATATTCTCACACTCTGCATTTCAGTCTTTTTCTTAAAATTTATTTTATTAATTTATTTTGATTTATCAACAATCACTTCCATATGCTTTTGAGTTAAAAATTTTTCTCCCCCTTCCTCCCTACCACCCTCCCCAAGACGGTGCACAACCTGATATAGGCTTTACATTTACATTCCTATTATACATATTTTCACATTAGTGAAGTTGTAACTTAAAATTAAAACCAATAGAAGAAACCATCAGAAAGATGGAAATAAAACTCAACAGAAGGTAAAAATAAGTGATAGCAATTAGACTTCCATAGTTCTTTCTTTGGATGTGGACAGCATTTTCCATCCCGAGGCCTCTAGAGATGTCTTAGATCCTTGTAATGCTGAGAATGGTTCAGTTTAGCAATATTAGTCATCACATAATGTGGCTGTTATTGTGTACAAAGTCTTCTTGGTCCTACTCACTTTACTCAGCATCAGACCATAGAAGTCTTTCCAGGTTTTTCTGAAGTCAGCCTGTTCATCATTTCTTGTAGCACAATAGTATTCCATTACATTCATATACCACAACTTGCTCAGCCATTCCCCAATTGATGGGCATCCTCTCAATTTCCAATTCTTTGCCACCACAAAAAGAGCTGCTATGAATATTTTTGTACATGTGGGTCCTTTTCCCATTTCTTTGATCTCTTTGGGATATAGCCCTAGAAGTGCTATTGCTGGGTCAAAGGGTGTGCACATTTTTGTAGCCCTTTGGGCATAGTTCCAAATTGTGCTCCAAAGTGGTTGGATTGTTTCACAACTCCACCAACAATGTATTAGTGTTCCAGTTTTCCCACATCTTCTCCAACATTTATCATTTTCCTGTTTTGTCATGTTGCCCAATCTGATAGGTATGATGTGGTACCTCAGGGTTGTTTTGATTTGCATTTCTCTAATCAATAATGATTTAGAGCATTTTTTCATATGACTATAGATGCTTTAATTTCTTCATCTGAGAACTGTCTGTTCATATCCTTTGACCATTTATCAATTGGGGAATGGCTTGTGTTCTTATAAATTTGTCTTAATTCTCTATATATTTTAGAAATGAGGCCTTTATCAGAGAGACTGATTGTGAAAATTCTTTCCCAATTTTCTACCTTCCTTCTAATCTTAGTTGCATTGGCTTTGTTTGTGCAAAAACTTTTCAATTTAATGTAATCAAAATTATGCATTTTGCTTTTCATAATGTTCTCTATCTCCTGTTTGGTCATGAATTCTTCTGTTCTCCATAGATCTGATAGGTAAACTATTCCTTGTTCTCCCAGTTTACTTATGGTATCAGCCTTTATATCTAAGTCATGAACCCATTTTGACTTTATTTTGGTATATGGTGTGAGATTTGGGTCTATGCCTAGTTTCTGCCATACTCTTTTCCAGTGTTCCCAGCAGTTTTTTTCAAGGGATGGGCTCTTATCACAGAAGCTAGGGTCTTTGGGTTTAAAAAATAATAGATTACCATGGTCATTGACTACTGTGTTTTGCATATTTAACCTATTCCATTGATCCATCACTCTATTTCTTAGTCAGTACCAAGCAGTTTTGATGATTGCTGCTTTATAATGCAATTTAAGATCTGGAATTGCTAGGCCATCTTCCCCTGCATTTCTTTTTATTAGTTCCCTTGATATTCTGGACCTTTTGTTCTTCCAAATGAATCTTGTTATTATTTTTTCTAACTCTATAAAATAATTTTTTGGTAGTTTGATTGGTATGGCACTGAATAAGTAAACTAGCTTAGGTAGAATTGTCATTTTTATTATATTAGCTCGGCCTACCCATGAGCAGCTGATGTTTTTCCAATTATTTAGATCTGATTTTATTTGTGTGAGAAGTGTTTTGTAATTGTGTTCATAGAGTTCCTGAGTTTGTTTCGGTAGGTAGACTCCTAAATATTTTATGTCTACAGTAAGTTTAAATAGAATTTCTCTTTCTGTCTCTTGCTGTTGGGCTTTGTTGGTAATATGTAGATATACCAATATGTAGATATGTGGGTTTGTTTTATAGCCTGCAACTTTTCTGCGATTCAGTCTTACTGACTTGCACTTCTGTTCTGCACATAGGATCTCCCTGGCCCATGCTTTAGCTTTGTTTCACCTATTCCTCATGCCTGCATTGTACTCCCTTCTCATCTCCATCTCTTGGAACCCTGATTCCCTTTATAACTCAGCTCAAGCACCAAGTCCTTTTTTTTTTTTAATTTTTGGGGCAGTTAGGGGGCACAGTGAATAGAGTACTGGCCTGGAGTCAGGAGGACCTGAGTTCAAATTTGGCCTCAGACACTTGACACTTACTAGCTATGTGATCTTGGACAAGTCACTTAACCTATTGCCTATCCAAAAAAAAAAAAGTTAAATGCCATACAACATAATGTTAATTTGTGGTTTTCTAAATTAATAAAAATCTGCCACTATTTGAGTCTACCACTATTTTGAATCTACCACTACTCTAGAATCATGATTGACCATTCATCTGGCTAGAGTTCATCAGTCTTCAGAATTGTTCTCTTTTGTAATGTCAATGTTAGCGTAAAAAGTGTTCTTATTCTGCTCTCTTCGGATCTTCCTAGCTGCTAGTGCCCTGCCTCCCCAAAGTGCCCTGTATTCATTTTGTATCCTTAAGAGTGTATGTATTTTTTCCACATTAGAATATCATCTAACTCCTTGAGTGCTGGCTCACCTTTCCTTTGTGTCCTCGGCGCTTAGTCTGATGCCTGGCCTATGTTGTTGTTGTTGTTGTTGAGTCATTTCCGTTGTGCCCAACTCTTTGGGTCCCTATTTGGGGTTTTCTTGGCAAAGGTACTGGAGGATTTGCCATTTTCTTCTCTAGCTCATTTTACAGGAAACTGAGGCAAGCAGAATTAAGTGACTTGCACACAGTTACATAGCTAGTAAATACCTTCCTAAAGGAGTCTTCCTAATTCCAAGCCCAGTGCTCTGCCCTCTGTGCTACCTAGCTGCCCACCTGGCACAGACTAAGTACTTAATCAGTGCTCATCACTTGACTGATATACCAGAGTGTACTAAAGTTGTACATGGTTCCTGAGGCTTCATCTTAAGTCATAGTTTCTCCGTAAGAAATAAAATACAACAAACAATTAAGTATCTCAATATGTGGAAGACAGTGGTGCTAGAAAGATAATTAGAGGCTAAGTGGAGGTTTTTACAGTCCAGATGTGGGGAGGGAAAATGACGTTTATATTAGTCTAGTGTAGTAGAGGCACCTAGGTGACAAGATGGATAGACTATTGGACCCGGAGTCAAGAGGACCCAAATTTAAATTCTGCCTCAGACACTCACTATCTGAGTAACTCTGGGCAACTCGCTTAACCTCTGTCTTTCTTGGTTTCCTCAACTGTAAAATGGGGATAATGATAACACTTACCTGTGAGGGTTCTTTTGAGGATAAAGTGACATAATATTTGTAAAGCACTTGCAAACCATAAAGTACTATATAAATGCTAGTTATTAATATTATTGTTATCATTGTTATCGTTATCATCATTGTCATCATTATTGTTGCCTTTGAGTACTGTGCATGAAGTGCACTAGAAATGGCGAGGAAATTTAAGGCCATTAAATCCCATTTGGAAAATGATAAATTCTATTTGGGATTTTAATAAGCCATATTTTCCATTTCATGAAGTAGGAAGATAATAGGGAAAAGTGATTAGAGTGCTAAATAAAATCACCTGTAAGAAAAAGATGCAATTAATGTGGGGATGGAGTAGCAGGAGTAATGGAGTGGGAGGAAGCTGGAATGCTTATTCTTTTCCAAGATGGATCACTTAGCTATATCACAAAGCAGTCTTTGAAATTAAACTACATAAATTATAAATTACCTCTAGTTAATCACCTAATACTCTTTTATTTAGAAAATTGGGGAAATTTGCATCTGGCTTAGAATTGAACCTTTGAAGGAAAACATGTTAAACTGTTAAAATGAGAACAAAGTGATCTGACTGCAACAGGAGGGGCCATACACAGAAAGTAACACAATATATGCTATAGTTTTTAGAATTCATAATTTTAATGCTTTTTTTTTTAATTTTTCAGACAACCTGCTGAAAGATGAAGGCAAACCTCTGTTTGGAGCCCTTCAGAATAGACAGGTATATCCTAAGTACCTATTATTTATTATTATAATTATCCTAAGTAACATATTATTTATGTTGTGTTTTCTCAGGAGTCCAGTGTGAACCCAGTGATTATATTTAACCCCCATTAACTTCATATAGTATGCAAGAAAATAGAACTAAAAATATTAATTAATATCTTGTTGAAGAATAGATACGTACTTCCAAGCACATTTACAAAACTATCTTCATTTTAGAATGAGTTAGTCATGGAACAGATTCCGGAGAGTAACATGCAAAGTTATTTCAAGTGGTACTTGTTCATTCTAGTCCAAGTAATTAGTTTTCAGCAAGCTGGCTTTTGTTATCTCTTGTCTCCTTGGCATTTTACTGCCCATCAACAGGGTGGCAAGAGAGGGACCTTAAACCAGTTTCACTCCAAAAACTCTCTGTAAAGCAGACAATGGGTCATTTATCTCTCCAGATTGGGAGATAGAATCCCCTTGCCTCTGCACAAACCTCCTTTGCCCGGTACTGTTTCCCTCCTTTCTTCTGGCAGCTAGCTTGGCAGTAGTCTTCTCAGTAACAAATGTGTTTGTAGTCCTGATCCTGAACTTGGGAACCCTTGCCTTTGCTAACATTCATTCCTCTACCTTCTAAGAGAGCAGTGTTTTAGCAATGGAATGATTTGGAATTGAGCATATGTGGAGCTCTTGATTCCTACAACAAGTGCCCAACTTTTTAGGTGTGCAAAATACTGTGGTCCCATGAGCATGATTGTAGGATGAGTGTAGGTTTGTAAAATCCAGATTTGGGGGAGATAGGAATTTTATATTAGTCCAGTATAGTAGCTACTTTGAGTTGTTTACATGGAATATGGTGAGGATGCTCAAAGCTAATACACTTTTCCTGAGTTAGGCATTCATTACAATTGTTTCTCTGTCATGATGTACTTTAGAATTTCTTGATTTATATTAGCACAGGCATACAGTTCTAAGATTCAAAGTAAACCAAATTAATACTCAAAAGTTGTGTTCTAAGGTAGTAAAAATTTTTATTAAAGCTGAAATAAAAACTTCTTTGGGATGAAAGCTTAAAATTTTGGCTAGCTGGTACTGAATTATATAAGTTTTCCAGTAAGTAAATGAATGAAAAGGCATTTATTAATAAGCACTTACTATGTGGCAAGCGCTGTGCTAAGTATTAAGGATATAAATAGAAAAAGAGGAGACAGTCCCTGCTCCTAAGGAACTAATATGCTTATACTCTTAATTGGTGGACACAACACATATAAAAGAGTTCAGCTGCAAGGTAGATTGAAAGCCCTAGAAGGTCTAAGGGCACAGTGCTTAGGCAGATGGAAAGGCCCAGGAGTCCTTAGTGTACATCAGCAGGTCAAATGGCAGTGCCCTTGGTGCCCGTGGATCTGGAAGGCATAGCAGCTGGATAAATGGTAGGGCTTGATGTAGTTCTCTCTCTCACTGCGAGGGTTATGATTGGAGGACTCTTCGTTCATCCAAGTGTTCTTCCTACCTGGGTGGCCCGGGGTCTTCAGAGGAAGGTTGATGGGGCATGCAGGAGGAAGGGAAGGGTGTACTTAATGGTTCTCTTTATCTACATGGGGTTGAGGTGCCTGTGACATCTGTAATGTCCATCGTCCTTTCTCCCTCTGTGTGTGTGTGTGTGTGTGTGTGTGTGTGTGTGTGTACAAAACAGATATATATTATTAACTTAAGCCATTTCATAATTTTAAAAGTTGCTGATTAATAAACATAAAACACTTCCATAAATCCCTTTTCAATCTCTTATTTCACACATATGTATTTCATATAGTTGAGCATATACCTTATTGGGTTTTTTATTTCATTTAACTATTTAATACACATATTTCCAGGTATTGATATAGTATGCCTACTTGTCATTTTTAATAGTTGTATGTGTTCTATCATATTACTGTGTCAGAATTGACTTAGCCATTCCTTTGTTATGTTGTTTCCAACTTTCCCATTAGTTTAACATGAATCTTTGTACACATTACAGCCTTTCTTTTTTCCTCATTTTTTCTTCCTTCTTCCAATTTAGCACAATGGCCTGAAAGCATTAGTACAGTTTGCTGTGGCACAGAGGATTACCTTTCCTCAGAGCGTGATACAGAAGCATCTAGTCCGTCTCCTATCAGGTAGCCTTTGTTACTGTCTCTTTACATTTTCTGATGCACTTCAGATGATATAAAAATGGGTTCACTGGAAAATAATATACTCCAATAATTTAAGAAGATATTTAACAATATTAGTGTCTGTATCGTCTGTCAAGAAGTCCACGATGAATACCTAGTTCATGAAAAACTAGACATCTTCCACAAGTACCCAATTATACACCACTCTAAATGGAGAATTCCCAGAATACTGCTTCTCTTAGTCTGCTATAACCAGGAGTGGGGAAGCTGCAGCCTCGAGGCCACATATGGCCCTCTAGGTCCTCAAGTGAGGCCCTTTGACTGAATCCAAATTTCACAGAACAAATCTCTTTAATAAAAGGGAAGTTTGGATTCAGTCAGAGTACCACACTTGAGGACCTAGAGGGCCACATGTGTCTTCAAGGCCGTATGTTCCCCACCTCTGCTAGCCCATTTAGTTTTTTTTTTTCATATGCATTCTGTTAGCTCAGGGCTGCTGACAACTACAACTACTAGTATTGTCTCTTTCCAGTAGAAAAGGACGTGTGTGTGTGTGTGTGTGTGTGTGTGTGTGTGTGTGTGTGTGTGTGTTGAACTACATTGTGGGTAATTCTGTTTAAGATCCTAAAATAGTTGATAAATCAAGTAGAACTAAACTGAAATCATCAAAATGCCAAATAATAATTTACTTTCAATCTTTAGCCATATAGCCTTTCTAAGAGGCACACAGTAGTAGGACTGGTAGGATATTGACAACTCAATAATATACTAAAAGTACATACATGGTTCCAAATTGCTACAAAAGAAAAATAATCCTTATGATAAAGAAGAAATGGAGATTGGTATTTTCTTTATCATCAAAATTTTTTTGAATACCTACTTTTTGTCCTTATTGTGGTAGGTGCCAAAGGTATAGTAATGTAAGTCACAGTTGTCTATCTTCAAAGGGTTCACAATTGATCTGGGACCCTTATATAAAAAAGAGATTATGTTAGATACATTACAAGGTAGCACACAGTAAGTATCAGATGAGGAATGCAGAAAATGTGGTAGAGGATTTAGGAAAGAAACATCAATTAGGACTAAGAGAGTCAGAAAAAGTCTCACAGAAAAAGTGAGACTTGAACTTGGCTTTGAAGGCTAGGCAGGACTTACTTGAGGGGAGAAGAAGAGAGAGAGAATTCCAGGCTTAAGAATAGTTATGAGGGGGGGCAGCTAGGTGGCGCAGTGGATAGAGCACCAGCCCTGAAGTCAGGAGGACCTAAGTTCAAATTCGACCTCAGACCAAACACTTGACACTAGCTGTGTGACCCTGGGCAAGTCACTTAACCCCAATGGCCAAAAAACAAACAAACAAACAAACATAAAAGTGAGATAAAGGAAGGTCTGGTATCTGTAGGATTGGAAATAATCTTGTTAAAGACTTCAAGGAGACTATTTTAGGAATAGATACTATAGAAAAGATGGTGGAAAACCTCATTGAAGTAATGGATTCTCTGTTGAATAAAATGCCTTGATCAGAATGAAATAATTCATAGATGGAATACCAGTAACAGATTATAATGACATTTAAAATGGCAAAGCTAGAAGAATCTCAGATCTTTACAAACCAAAGCAGTAGGGCTAGAGGACGGAGCTTGGAGTAACAATTTGAGAGTTATAGGGCTCACAGAAAAAAACAAAGAAATGATCTGAATTTCATTCCAGACAATCATGTAAGAAAATTGTCTGGAAGTATTGTAAACAGAAGGCAAAGGGAACACATTGTTAGAATCTGTGGGACATTGACAAAAAAGAATCTTACTTTTATGTCATTTAGAAATATAGTTGCCAAGTTTGGCGCTTTAGCGTGAAAGAATGAATTTTATAAATGTCCATAAAGAAGCAGTTTATATAGCAAAAGGCATCAGCTAGGATTGGGAAACTACCTGCTATGTGACAGGGATATAAAGACTAAAGACAGTCTTTGTCCTCAAAGTGCTTTCAATCTAGTGATGATGGGGTGGGGTGTATAGCAATGTATATTTATAAATAAATACAAAATATGAAGTAAAGCAACTGGAAGGATAGGAGAAATTGAAGAAGGGCGCTTACCTTAAGTAGAAAATGGTACTTAGTATTTCAGCTGATCTTTGAAGTAACCTGTGGATTCTAAGAGGTGGAGTTGAAAAGTCAGAGATGAACAATAATAATAAGTAAAATAAGAGACTAGAGTGCCATAAAATGTGAAGCAAGGGAAATTGACCTGCACCTACAATACCTCCTCTTAAAAACAAAACCTATGCCATTTTGGGAAAGGTGATTCTTCAGTAAGGTCAGAAATGGTAATTATTTCCTATGGAAAAATAAAACACTGCACATAGCATTTGACATGTAAATTGACCAAACAACTGAAACTTAAGGAACTAACCTGGAATTGAATGCAAGTAATGACTAAAGGATGACTCCATGTTTATAGGGACTAAGGAGGTGTTAAGACTACTGTATTTTTTCAGCTCAGGTCTTTGTGAAAACACAGAGGTCAAGAACTTGAGGGTAGAAAAACAAACAGAATGAGATCAACTGGTGGATTGAAGGAAAAGGCAGGGAGAGAATTGAAATAACTGGAATTTAGATATGCAAGTGAAAATTAATCATACAAAGAGGGGAAGATTGAGAGAGGTTGTAAAAGCCCTAGATGAGAGACCCCTGGCTTTGCTACTTGCTGGCTATGTGACCTTGGACAAATTACTTAAGTTTTCTGGGTCTCATTTTCCTTATTTATAAAATAAGGTGGTTGGGCTAGATGACTTTAAAGATTTCTTACCATACCAAATCTCCAATCAGTTCTATTCAATGAGCATTTATTAAGTACCTACCACAGGCCCTCTAGAGACAAAGATAAAAACTAAACAATCCCAAACTTCCATAAGCTTTTACTCTACAAGGAGATATAACATCAACTGAGAAAAGTAAACATACAGTAGATGTCAGTTAATGGGTAGGAGAGAATGACCATTAGGAAGCCCAACCAAGCCCTCTTACAGACAGTAGCACTTAATGGATTCCAAGAGGTGAAGGTGAAGAGGGAGAATATTCCAGGCTGTTTGGAATAGTTGTCCAAAGACATGGAGGATGGAAGATGGGATGCAATGCACAGAGAATAGCAAGTAGACTATTATTTTTAAGTGTAGAATGTGTAAAAGGAGCTAATATGAAATATCCAGAAAGATCAATTGGATCCAATTTGTGAAAAAAATTTAGATGCCAAATAATAGGAATTGTATTTCATCCTAAAGGCAGTAGGGGAGCCATTGAAGTTTCTTGAGCCTGAGGAGTGACATGGTCAGATCCTTTCAGAAGTATCACTTTGGCCCCTGTGTGGAGGATATCTGGAGGCAGGGAAACCTATTAGGAAGTAGCAGCAATAATCCAGACAAGAAGTAATGAGAACCTGAAGTAGTGTGCTAGCTATGGGAGTGTAGAGGAGATGATATCATAGATGCGGTGCAGTTAGGAGCCACAATTTAGGACTTGGCTATTTATTGGATTTGAAGGGAGAGGAAGACTGAAGGAGAGAGGGAGAGTGAAGAGTAGAAGATAACTTCAGAGTTGCCAACCTGGGAAACTGGAAAGATGGTGGTGCTTTTAACAGAAATAGGAAGAGGAGTGAAGGGTTTTTTTGGGGGGGAGGGAGTGGCAAGGGGGAGACAGGGAGATCATGAGTTATGTTTTGTGCATGTTGAGCATGAGATGTCTGTGAAACATCCTGGTAGAGATATCTACCAGTCAATTGATGATATGGGACTAGAGCTCAGAATAGAAATGACATTTGAATATATAGATTTGGGAGTCAACTACATGGACATAATAATCTATGGGAGCTGATGAAATCACCATTGAGGGACTATTAAGAAAGAAGAATGCTTAGGACAGAATCCTTGGATACATTAATCCTAGATTGCAAGGGGGCGAGAAGGCGGTAGGGCCATTTGAAAAATTAAGTCATTAAAGAAATTAACAATTTTTTCAAGAAATTTAACACTTACATAGAAGACAGAGATATATGACCATATCTGACAGCAGTGGAAGGGGAAAGGGAAAGGTCTGGGGTTTTGTTTCATTTTTTAAGGCTCGAGAACATATTTGTAAGCTAAATGACAGAGTCAGTGGAGAATGTGATGTTGCAGATACCTGAGAGAGAAAATTTCTGCTAGAACAAGGTTCTGTGGAGGCTGGAGAGAATAGGATCAAGTATATAAGCAGAAGGAGTAGCTGAAGGGAACAGACTTTAACATTTTGTGTGACCAGAGAGAAGGAGAGAGTGGGTGATTGATAATATCATGCAGTGTCCACAGAATTTAAACAATAAGGCATTTGTGAAGTGATGTACCTGCCCAGATTTCATCTTCAGTGCTCTGCTCCTTTATAAGGGTTTAAGGTTTCTGGGAATGGAGGGCAGAGAGAGATAGCTGAAGCCAGGCCTTCCGGGCAGCCTGAGCATTTTTGTAGCTAGAGGAGAGTAGCCATTTCATCAGAGAGATGAAAGATTCGAGGAAGACGTGATGATTGAATGAGGTGAAGAAGGCAGATTGAGATAGGATCAAAACTACGGATGAAAGAGTTAACCTTGGAAAGGAGGCATATCTTCTTCCATTGGGATAGGAGAGAATACAAATGATGGAAAAGTAGTTGAAAATACTCCTTAAAACTTTGGTAGACCTATGTTATATCAGTACTTATTGCACCAGCACAGACCACAGCTCTTTTGTGCTTTAATAGGCAGTTTTATTAGTTACTTTGGCCAAAATTATTCAACATCTACAAAATATAGCTAGGCTCTCCCTTTGTGACAGACACAGTCCATTGCTGAGTTTGTATTCAAAGCCATTGCAGGCTTGCCAAAATTTATATTTCTCTTGCATTGACTTAAGAACCCAGAGTCACCTCCACACCTTGATGAGACATTTATTTAAAAATATAGATAGATAGATAGATAGATAGATAGATAGATAGGTGGATGG